AGAACTCTCGGGCCTTTTACCGAAGTAATACGGCCCGATAGAATTATAAGGATTCTTTAGAAGAATGACCAATTCTTACATGGAACTTTTCCTGCTTTGACTCTCTTTCACCTTCCAACATCAACACAGAAGATTTAACAACAAATAAATATGCAGATTTATCTGGCAAGTATTAATTCACATATGTTGTCAAACATCCTTTGGGAGTTAAGTGTAGTCTAATTTAAAAGTTTGTCAGAAACCTAAGGGATAAATCAGGAGATTCAAAATATGTAATACACATACGTTAGCGCATTGTAATTCACCCGTTTCTCCTTTATATTCAATTATTTCCTTCTGAGATTATAGAAAAAAAACCTTTTCTTTCTTTTAAAAATTGTTTTCACCTCTATATTATTATTTATTATATTTACAAATACGGAGTGATATTCTTACTATTATGTGCATTGAACTTAATATGGATATTGTTTCATTATTAAGGCCCATAGCCATGGTGGTGGGCAACCCCCCTTCCCAATATTACGAGCCTCAAACTTGGCCCCTTGATAAAATTTTCGGTCTTCACAAATAGACCCCCCCCCCCATTTTTCTGTCCCTCAAATATAAAAAAATATTAATTTATTGAATTTTAATTCGCCATTAACAATTAAATTTAAATGAAAAAATAAAATTTTCTTTAGCTAAGTTAATTAGATAATTAAAGAAAATACTTAATTGGTTTTAAATATACATACACTCATTAACCACTAAATGAAAAAACAACAAATATTCGCCTTTTTTAATCCTTGGCAAAATGACACTAGTGTTGGTGAATTCGTCAGTTCCAGTGATGATTCTTCTCAACCTCTTCTTGAACATGGTAAGACCGTCAATGTTAGAAATTGTTGCATAATATAATTTAATATCATAATATACAAAGTTAATTGAAGCTTTAAACTATGACTATTTACATATACAAAAAAATTCCCTAAATAATATAATTTTATTTCTACATACGAAGCCTCAAACCATCAATTGATTTACCTTAAATTGATTTACTAGATATATATATATATTTGAAGTTTTTGACTTTCTATGTACGTGATAATTTTACTTGTTAATAAAAATTACTTTTTGATATCGTTATTATTTATTCTAAAGCAAACGAAACCAGACTTACATATTCTTATCCTACTACTGATTCTTTTTAGCGCAATTATTCTTTATTTGCGACAGAAATTATTAATTAAACAATAATTAAGACAAATTATAGATATTTCAAACTACTTGTTTATGTGATGATTAATGCTTAGACGTTAAATAGAACAATGATTTTCAATAAATAAAGTCTGTTCTACTAATTTTTCTCTAAAAATATTTAAAATTCATCCAATTGTTTATATATTTTAAAAAGTCCACCCTCGCCCGCAGAATGGGTGGGAGTAAAAACTCGCCTATTGCAGACCTCTAATATGCATAATACAAAAACATGTGCACTCTTTACATGCATGCTTTCACTTTTAATTTTTTTTTGTAAAATGTATAATTCACAATTTAATTTTTATCCACTTTTCTAAACACTCGTCAGTCGTCGCAATAATTTCCTATTTAAATTTGATTTTTTTTTAAAATATCGATTTATTAAACTATTTAAAAATGAAAATATAATTAAAAAATTTAAATTGCATGAGGACATAAATTCTTCTAAATCGTCCATTTGGCAAAAATTTGTGTTACAAAAAAGGAGATAAATTGAAATTGAGCTAGTTGTCCATCAATATATAAGTTTAAAAACAAATCAGGAACATCATTTTTATTCTACTTCATAAATGTCTTCCCGAAAATCATAAAAAATAGATAAAACATTCAAAAATCGCGTCATAAAAAAAGGAGATAAATTGGAATTGATTAGGTGAACTAGGTGTCAATCAATATATAAGTTTAAAAACAAATCAGGAACATCATTTATTTTACTTCATAAATGTCTTCCCAAAAATCATAAAAAATTAAATTATATCAAATTTCCACTAAAATAAAATCCGATATAACTATTAGTCTTGTTGAGTTGGTTAAATCACCTAACTTTAGCAAAGTCAAATATGGCCTAGACAATTTTTATTCTAAAATATTCCTATCAATTATAAAGTTAAGACTCAACTTAGAGACTTGAATCAATTTATTAGGCTAAAAGCTTGGCTAATCCGTATTGGAGTTGATCAACGTTAGGTAATTTAAGAACTTTGAGTATTGTGTCAGAGATATTAGTTATAGTATATTTAATATTTTCTTAGCGAATGATGAAATATAACTGTCATAATATTTTTAGTTGTATTCCCTTTTAAAAAGTTTTTACAATGGAAAATGATAAATTTTATTAAAAATAAAAATTTTATATTAAATATAATTCATAATTTCAATTAGTCTATTTAAAGCTGTCCAAGGATTGTGCTTTACTTTATCAATCTTTTACAGAAAAGAATTTTATTTTTTATATATAATTTGCCATAAATATTTTTTTTTCTTAGATGAAATACATTTTAATCCATCATTTATATCTTCTATTGATTGTATGGGGCTAGGTGCAGTTTCCTTTCAATTTTTTAAGGGAGGTAGTATAAATTTATTGGATGGTTATCTAAATTTTAGATGAAATAGGGCAAAATATAATACTGTAAAAAAATAATTCAATACATTAATTATAGACCTATTATATATAATGATATTGTTAAACATCGACCAAATTTATACATTGCATGCAATTAAGTCATTATTTTTCAAATAAAATTTATTTCTGCATAATTTTCTGCTATTTTAAATGTAATTTAAAAGGGTTAGGCATTTTATCAGCAAACTCATATTCATGCCAAACAAATACTATGCCTTCATCGTAAATGATAGGGTTTTTTTAAATATTCATGTACTAAATAATAACCCATTTATATTAACTTATTTGATAGTTGCTAATAGAGTATTAATAATTTGTTATTCTTTTTAAAATACATGAAGAGAAAGTACCATTATACTAAGAATATGTAATTAATAATGGGGGAAATCGGCTCAAAATTTTTAGGGGGGGATAGGTATAGGTTTTTGAAAGGGGGGGGGGGGGTTGCTTCTAGAGAATATTCTGACATGTAGACGTTGACTATATATCAGTGGTATGCTGGGCCGAGTAGGGTAATGTCTGAAATTTTTTTTGGGCCGAGCTAAAAGTATATACCCGGCCCACTTAACAGATTAGAGAATAGCAAATAATAATTCTAAGCCTAATTTTGTTAAAATAAAATTTTTATTGGCTAATTTTAATAACAAATTATTATTAGGTTTTTTTAATTTTAATCTCAAAACGAGGTCAAATAATTATTGGCAGTAGTAGTACTTTTAATTTAACCACTCCCCAATATTATAAATATTTGTTCGTGTTGGTGTTCAACTACAAATATTTTAGGTTAGGCCTTTTAAAAAAACCAGGGGGAGAAACTATAGTAAAAAAATAAAACAGGGCTGGGCAACCCTGAAAATGAATGCATCAAAAACAAAGGTGATGATTGGTGGGGAAAATCTAAAGATGGAGAAATCCGGTAAGTGGCCTTGTGGTGCATGTGGGAAAGGAGTTGCTAGAAATTCTATCCAATGCACCAGATGCCAGAAATGGGTACATAAAAGATGTAGCGGGAAAAAAAGGCAGTTTGATGTTAGAAAGAATGACCTTTATTTGTAGAACATGCATGAAAGGGATACATAATAATGATAACCTAAAAAATGGTGATCTGGATATTGGCAATGGGTTAACCATAGAAAAAGTGGATAAGTTTTGTTATTTAGGTGATATGCTAAACGCAGATGGTGGTGTAGATTCTGCCGTTGTTGCAAGGATCAGACAAGCTTGGAAAAAGTTCAGAGAGATGTCGTCTATTCTTACAAATAAAAAAGTTTCTCTGAAGTTAAAGTGGAAAGTTTACGTAAGCTGCGTGAGGAGTTGTTTAGTTTATGGCGGTGAAACATGGGCAATGAAAGCGACTCACGAAGCCAAATTAGAGGACAGAGATGAGGTTAATTAGATGGATGTGTGGGGTATCTCCGAGAGAGAGAAAAACTAGCAAGGAATTGCGAGCAAGATTAGGTATAGAAATGATTGGTATGGTAATGCAACGAAATAGACTAAGATGGTTTGGGCATGTGGAACGTATGACAAGAGATGACTGGGTAAAGAAATGCACAATGATGGAAGTAGGAGGATCAAGACCTAGAGAAAGACCCAAGATGACGTGGACAAATGTGATAGCGGCGGATATGAGAAGCATAAATCTTACAAGTATTGATGCTCAGGACCGTCAAAAATGGAAAAGAAAAATCAGAGGGAAAACTGGCCTACCCGGGTAAACCTTGAAATCGCCATAAAACGGAGAAGAAGATTATTTAGTTAACGATTTTTCTTAGACCACGTTATGATCCATCGTTTGTGATATTACTTTCGCAAAATTTTTGTGAAGGCAAAAAGAAAATCTTTTTTTTTTATACTTTACATAATTTGTCGAAAAAAAAAATATGAAAATTCTATAAATTTTCATTTGATTAACAAATTTACTGGAGAGGCGATTACAGGAGAAGAAGCAACAATGTGTAATATATTTTGTTATTTAAATAATATTTTACATCTTATTAATTCTTATATAGATTTGTAATTTACCAATATAACCAAATCTATATAATTCTGATTTCCTCATACCTTTTGTTATTAATCACTATTTGTGATTCATCGCCATTTCTGATTAATCGCTTTGTAATTCTCATGCCGTACCCTCCTTGGTCAGGCCAGAACGAAGTATATTAGCAATAACAAATAAATGTAGCATAATTTAATAAAATATGAGAAAATGTGAGCCAATTTTATTATAAGGAATAATAAGGAGCAACCTATTTAATAATTAAAGGAAAATCAGTAAAATATTTTCTTTGTTATATAACGATCAATTCATTGATTTTCACATATATGTTTTTTTATAAATTATTTTTTAAAATTAGGATTCACATAATTAACTTTTTAAAAAATGTATGAAAAATTACGTACAAAAGTTTTTTGCATATTTAATAAAGACCAGAATGGGTTAATTTTAGTTATTTTCTAATCGGTTTAAGCCTTTTTAACCAAATAAAGAGTAAATGTTCCCGGATTAGTTTCTTCAAAAGGAGGATAATCTTTTGTGGTGAGATAATTTCTAACGGCGTAATTCAGACGTGAGTGCTGAGATGATTTAGTTTTGCCCCGACCAGTTATGACTGTCAATTTATTCAATTTGTATGATTCGAAGCTAATTTATCAGTGAATAAAGGCGATTATTATACATCAAATATATTCTAAAATTTAGTTTTTAAAAATTTAGAGGAGAAAAAGTAAAATTAACGTGTATAACTTTTTATTGATAATTTTGTCTTGTGCCCAATAAATGTATTTTTTAAGTACTGCCAACACTTCTGAAACATGTAAACCGTGTAAATCCAAAGTATTTCTAGGTTGTCCGTAATTATTAGTTCTCAAAATATTATTCACAGCTTTTTGGCTTTCTAATTTGAATTTTGTATCGTATTCCTTAGCCTTTTACGTATATTTATTTAAAAAAATTATAAAGTATCTTGATAAATATTTATTTAAGTAAAACTCATTCTAAATTAATTAAACATAAAAGATTTCATATGTGTCATTCTAAATATTTCCAGAGGTAAGTTTACCAATTTGGATACTGAAAATCCATTGATTCATATAGTTTGAGAACAAACAAAATTTTTAATATCGGATCAGATCATAGTAATAATTATTTTTAAATATATCGGCTGATATTTTGTAATTGGCTTGTCCGATGAATTAAATGACGGCTAAATTTTTTAGTTATTTGTAAAAAAAAATTTAAATTGAAAGATCTCATTTGCAGTTAATGTTCAAAGAAAACATTATAACTTCATTAGAGAAATCGATATTAGATATTTTAAGTTTTTTGCTTTAATCATATCACAACCTAGCCCATATATGTGTTTTAGTGGTCAAACATATCAAACGGGATGATAAGGATAAGATTTTTCAAATTTAATAGCTCTTAGTGTTAAAATTTAGCTTCCCCATATATGTAGTTGATACTTGTAATGAATAATATGGCTGAGGTGATTGAAACAAAAAACGTATAATGCGAAATATATATTCAATTGAAGTGATATCAGCGAAATCAGATAGGCCTCTATAAAACTGTATCGGTAAACTTTCCACTTATTAATATCTAAAGTCGGTATAATTTACTCAAATTGATTTAAATTAATTTTACTTTTTACTTGTGATTTTAAATATTCTGTTTTTTCTAAATAAAAAGAACATATCATACATTATTTTACTATATTTTGCATATAATTGTAATTAAATCCTAAATCTAATTATAAAAATAATTTTATGTGATAAGTTAATCTTGAAATTAATTTTTAACATATAAAACTCTTATAAGAAATCATTGTAATTAATATTGATTATAATTTAAGGAAATCTCTATAATAATTTCAATTGGCCTTTATCGAAACACATATTGATAATCAATATTTTTTTATACTAAGATAATAATTTCATCTATGGAATTAATATTAAATTTCAATTTTAGTTTTTGTAACTCTAGATTTATAAAAATAAAATATTCGTTATTGTTAAGATTAAAACTAGTATAAATGGGCAAATATTAAATATAAAAAATTTATGATAAAGAAGTACATCATTTTTTACTCAATCCAATAGCGTTTATTAAAAAATTCACAAATTAAGTTGTATGTTGTTCAGTTATTAACTTTCCCTCGTAGGTTACTTTTTCAGGGCATATATTATTATAAAATATTTTTTACAAAATTCTAAAACTTGATTTAAATTTAAAAAACTCGTATTTTTTTCAACCCTAATAATATCTGAGTTTTTAATGTATAACAATTTTTTATAAATTCGTAATCAATTACTGTTTGCCTGTAATATTGAGCTATGCCTGACCGAAAGAGCTTGTTGGTAGAGTTGGCCGATTGATCGGCTTTAACCAAATATTCGTTCTTAATTTTCTGAAATTCAAAAGCCTTTTCCCTCAAACAATCATATACTAAAGCTCTTTGATTGCCGACGACTTTATTGGAGGAACTAGAAAAACATTTGTTGTTGACTGTATCGACTAAATTTTTGTTTATGAGGGAGAGAACCTGAATCGATATGTCCCGGGTGGATAAATACTCGGGTTTCTTCACAATTAAATACATTTTTAATTTATAAAAAATAATCGAGCGAGAAAATGCGAAAGCTTCTTAAACATTAATTATATTAGTGGTACTAGGGATGAGCAAATTATTAAAAATTTAAAGTATCTAAATACAGATATCTTTTTAAATATAAGCGTTTAAGATACAAATATAAGATACTTTTTCAAAACGTTCATGAGTTACAAGATATAGACACTTTATAAAAAGAAGTGAAAAGGGAATCTAGATACTACTTCAAAATTATACTTTAAAAAATTGACATAATGTGAAACCTTATATTTTTGGACATTATGTTAAAAAATTATAACATAATGCTAAATGAAACATTTTATTTATATTAATTTCGCTTAATACATTTCACATAATTTTATAAATAGTAATTACTTTTTAATATAATTAGTTTCTCAAATAATTTATCTGACAATTTATGCATATTTGTTTGGCCTATTGACAAGGTATGCAAAGCTAAATAGCCGTTCAACTGGAGCTAAAGAGGGCAAAATAGTATTATAAAAAATTCTTTGATGTACTTATATTTATGTAAATTGTTGGTATCAAGACAATCGTCTTTAAAAATTTAGTATTCCCAGTTCAATAATTTCACTAGCCTAATTATTTTTAGAAGGTATATCATTAAAACAAAATCCTCTCCAATAAAAGAAGAGAATTTGTAGGCTGGTCAAATGTATTAATCTTGTCCTTCGTTTTGCAAATATTTTATTAACATTATTATCAATCTATTTAATTTTGAAATAAGGATTTGAAATTTTGCTTAAAAAGCCATTTATTCATAATTAAAAATATTTAAAATTTTTATATTCAACCCAATTTCGATGGCGAAAACATAAATGATAGCAAAAACATAAGCTGGTTTGAAGTAAATAATTTATAATTCTTTTTATAACAAATAAAATTGGACCAAATTCCCATAACAATTATTTGATCAAGCAACTTATCAATAACTATTGCTAAGGGATACAATGCTTTAGTATTTCCTAAAAATTTCTTTTAGACTAATTGGTGTTATATTAAAGCAGAAGAAAACTATAAGTTTTGAGATCATATATAATATTAAATATTATTGTTAATATTAATAATGGATTATATTAAAAAAATTTGAACAAATTATTATTTGATGAAATTAAGATGTTAATAATTAATGGTAGAAAATTCTATATAAGTGTTTAATAGTTTACTTGGATTTAAATAAAATATTTGACTTTTTAATTAAATAAACCTTTATATGAAAAGTTAAAAGTATCTGAATCTTTTGCATATTAAATAGTTAAAGATATAGATATTCATTTTATAAAAGTATTCAAGATATAGATATATTTTTAAAATGCCCAAAATGATACAAGATAATATATACAAAAGCATCTTGTATTTATGATACAAGTATTTGAGATATTGTTCAACCCTGAGTAGCATACAATTAATTATATGTAATAAATCAAAGCTAAGGATAGAAAAAACGCAATTATTCACATTATCCGCTGCCAAAGAGCAGCAAGTTTGTCGCGAAAATATTTGTACAAAATTACTAGATTGAAAACGAACGTTTAATCCCATTCATCGCTTTAATTTAAATTTAAAAATCATACGGCGCCATTTTATTTTGGTATTTCTCTATAACTTTTATAATTAATTGGTCCAAAACTGTACCTGACGATATATGTTTTCGATATATAATTCCCCATCTTCGCTATCTTGACATTCCTCTTCTTCGATATCAATTAAATCAACGGAATTTGGTGTTTGATTTGGATTTTCAATAAGCGCAGTTTTTACTTTCGGTTTTGCTGTATATTTGAAATTCAAAAATACAAATAATTTTATTTGCAAAACATATATTTTAAAGTAAATAAAAATTTAATAAAATATAATGTTATAAAAATAGGCATGATACTAAAATGATTGGTCAACTTAAAATAATTAAATATTGGATATTCATGTGATAATTTTTACTTCGTTTTAATAAATCGCAATAAGTAGGAGTCACATTAGAGTCAATGGTAAAAGGTACAAGTTGAGAATTCACAAAATCACTGACGGCCTCTAGATCAAAACTATGCATAAAAGTAATTGTATGTATTAAATTTTTTATTCAAATTTCAATTATTTTACTAACATTATTTGATAATAAATTTACTTTAAGTAAATTTTTCGCCTATTAATTATAGCACCTTTTTTTTAAACACGGTAATTATATTATAATACTAATTTTTAAAAATTGTATTGTAAGTAAATTGTTATTTAACATTTAGATATTATTTCAAATAAAGGATTTTAAACAAACAAAATACTAAACACGATTGTCTTAAAAGTGTGAATAATACTTTTAAAATTAAAACTATACTTAAATCCGGCAAACAATTCATCTAAAAGAGCGGAGTTTAATCCAGGAAATTGCCGAGTTAATAAATTTCTTTTAAGCAAGTTAGCTAAGCTTAAATTTGGTACGGTCTCCTTCAAATTGCTAGAATTATCCAAATTATTGATATCTTAATTTTATAAATAAATTAGCAAAAAAATATTAATTCAAGTCAAGGGCTGCAAACGGAAAAAGGGAATTCTAGTCAAAATAATAAAAAGCAAAATATTAATTATCTGAATGAGGAGTTTGATAGGTATGAGGGTAAATAAATCTAATAATTGCGATGATATCAAAGATAATTTTTCTCTTTCACTGTTTCTTGCTAAAATGATTAAATCATGTTTAATGAAATGAAAAAATGGAATGGGAATCGATTTTATATTTCGAAAAAAACTGAACAATCAATCTTAGCTTAGTAGAGGGCGTGTGACTTCTGTATTAAATATTAATGTAAGGCGGTACAATAGCTATATTGTATATTGGATTCGATGTTGATTGTATATTTAATACTATATAAAATTCTTTATTATATTTAAGCTGTTCATAACATATCATGCAATTTAAAAAAAAACATTCTAAAATAATTTAAAAGAAAACCTGAAATATGGCAGTTGTCCATATTGAAATCTTTATGTTTTTCTTCGTCGATTATTTGTGAGAGTGGTTCTTATTTATAGGGGAGTTGGATATATTAATTTAAAACATGCCTATTCCAAAATTATTCGTTATTCAATTCGAAATTCATGAATATCTTATTTATCGATTTGTTTATTGTGGAGTACTAAATTAAAATATTTTATTTTGTGAAAATATTTATTTTATCAAATTATAAATACTCATTACTATTATGCAGGGATCCAAACCGTAACGAATATCGGTTCGGATAAAAATAACGGTTAAAGATTCAGTCGGTTCGTAAAAAATAATAATATAGTTTTGGTTTGAACTTTTAAAGCCCGATTCAAACCTTTTCATGCAAGCATATTAAAATCATGTTAAGAAAAGATGATTTATTAAAATTTTATAGTTATTCTCTAAAAAACAATATTGAACCGTATACAATTTAAATATTTTCAAAATTCTCTTCTATCAAATTATAGCTATAAGAAGGAAGAATAAATTTTATGACTAACATCACTATATATGCTAGCTTGGGTATTTGATATCGTCAAAAATATCAATATATAATTCCCGATTTACCAGTAAAAACTGATTATCACTCATCCATAAAAGAGTTAAAATATCAAAAGGATAAAACCGGTTCATGCGCATTTTTATAGGTTCGGTTTAGGTCCGGGTGACAAATTTTTTAACGGTTCATGAAATAATCACGGTTTATACCTGTTTGGTTTGAATCCCTGATCTTATGTATCTCATTTATTATGTCACATTATAATTGGGATACAATAAATACTCATTTTCAAATAAAAAATTTCGCAGTTATGTTGTGAATCCCAATCAAATATTGCTCTAGCTCCATTAGTTCCGGCAATACCAGGGTTCAAATAAACTGGTTCCTTTCCTAACTTTTCGAAAGACACAAGATTACTCAAATATAAGTGTTAGAGACCTAACTATATTTAGCGACTAAAATACTTTGTTTAAAAAATTTCCAATTTCCTTTCATTTTCGGTAATTTTTTATTAAATACGAGTTATTTAAAATTTTTAAATAAGTTCATTAAATTAATATCAATTTATTTAAAAAAAAATGGAGCATTATATAGTGAGTTCGATGTGAATGCATATTAACATTTTTCGGTTGGGGAAAGGTCTTGTATGGAGGGATTGTAAAGCCTTTAGCAGCAAGATCAAGCCTACAAAGACTGAATTTCCCACAAATTTTGATCCCTCTTCTTAATTTGTATAAAAATGCTGATATTCAAAAAACCACCTTTACTTTTTCCAGAAATGAGAGGTAATGGATTTGTGAAATTTATAAAATATTTTTAAAAAATGTTGATCAAATAGGGCGAGAGAATGAGGCAAGACTTAAGTGAGTGGGCATAATATGTGAAAAATGAAATCTTGCTTGTCTTAAATAATTTTTTTAAATCAGTGAGTATTTGAGTAGGGAGTTAAAATATACTGCAAATCTCGAGTCTTCACCATTTAGATTAGGACTGTGCCGATATTAAATAAAGGCTGAGGTCGACATTTGGCGTTATTCAGAAATTTGGGATCAGGACGATTTTTTAAAAACCAATCCGATATTTTATATCGTTTTTGGTAATTTTATGATCGTAAAATATAAAATATTTTTATTTTACACATCATTTCATAATAATAATAGATATATAAAAGGAGTTAAAATTCAATGAAAATTTTGCCAACAGATGAGAAAGGTCTGGACAACTATTGGTGAAATTTCGAAGCTTATAATAATTTGGCCAAAATCTTTATTTAGCCATTTAACACTACATTCAACTATAAACACTATCCATATAAATGAGATGGTAATTTTCGAAGAATAAAAAAAACTACACATGATAATTTGTAAGTTGGTTCTTTATGAATAGAAAATATTGATTTAAACATTGGTTAAGGGAAATAATAATCAATATAAATATTGGGTCGGTGAAAGATTTGTGGATCGGCACAGCCCCAATTTATATTATTTCGAGTATAATCTCTATTTTTGCGTTTTGCAAAGTTAGGAATGACGCCATTTTGAAACTTGGAACTCTCACATTTCCGGAATTAATAAAGCTAAAGCAATAAAAATTTTATTGCTGCACTCCAACTTACTTACCATATATGCAAAATTTTATTTGCAAGAGGACCATAAAAAGTTGTCGATTAACAATTCATTATTTACTTCTTTTTATCGTTCCAATATAAGTTTTTTTATAAAGATAACTTATGTTATTTTAAAATGCTAATTAAATCTAAAATGAGTATAATATCATTTTTAGCTTTTATATGATATTTGAAATTTTATTAAAGCAAATTTCAGAATTGTCAAAATATCGAATAGTTTCATATGAGACCGGCCCGCTTAAACATATTTGTTATAGATTATTATCGTTAAAATGATATATAGTAAAACTTGTCTAATTTTGGCACTTGATAATTTGGGCAACTCCCTTGACCCAAATCCCTATTAACTACTATTAGTGAGTAAAAGGATCCTGATAAATTGAGATTGGTTACAAATGATGCTAAAATTAGACAGGTTTTATTGTATATTAAATTGCGGGATGGGGAATAATTAAGGAAATAATATTTATTTCATCAAAGAATTTATTTTAATATGGCAAAATCATCTTTTTTAAATAAATTTTTGTTTATTCTATTCTCTAAAATTTTTCCCATAAAAGTATTATTAAAAAATCAGATCTTTACACATTACAATACACCTCTAGTTCAAATTTAAAAATTATATAATAATATTTTTTAATAATTACTAGGGGATTTAATCAAGGTATTATGAAACATCTTGGTATTGAAGGCTGGGTTGAGATAACAACTGCAATCATTAGAAGACGCTAAATGATAATTAAATTTTTTTAAATGAATGCTAGATCGATAAAAATGTCCCGACCGAATAAAAAATATCCCTGAACAAAAAGACACTGGATAAAAATAAACCTGTACAAAGAGATATTAAAAAAAAATAACTCTTCGAAATAAAGAAGCATAATCACCTTCTGAGGCTAAATTTTTTTAATCAGGTTTTGATAATGTTTTTACCATATTGATTTCGAAAATAAATAAAAGAAGAGAAGCCTATAGATAAGGTTTAAATATTGCAAGAATTTATTTTTAAGAATAATTTGTTATAATGAACGTAAATTTTTATTTTCAAAATAATATAAACACTTTCAAGATAAGAAATATTTTATAAAGTCTTATATTTAGTTAGTGTTAATATACGCTAAATTAATAGCCCATTTCAGACTTTTGTCCATATCCTCCTCGTCATCGAATATATGTACAAAACGTAGCCATATCAAGCCATTTAAATTCATTTATTTTCTTACCAAAAACATGCCTTATATCGTTTTACTATGTTAATTGAATAAAATTTTACATTTTTTCTAAGCACTTTAAATTTATTAAGGGACAATTTTGTTCAGGATCTTTTGATCCGAGATATATCTGTCCTATTACCAAAATGTATTAAATAAAAAAATTAAAAGGGCTCAAGACCATCGGGTTGATTTCAAAATAAAGTAAAACATTTCAATGGGTCACCCTGTCGAATATAGTATATAAAACACTATGCGACTAAAAAACTTGGGACATTAATATTGCATCAAATTAAGTTAGGTCAAATGCTTTTTAGGGTTGGAAAATTTAATTTACTGTTTTTAATTAATTAACCTTTTGTTTATATTAAAGTAATTATATAAATGTAAAAATATTGTTGTAATGCTTACTGTACATTACAATTATTAAACAATAATACGGGTTAATATCTTAATTACCTCGAACCTTTATTGAAGATATAAATAATAAACGCGAAATTCAAATTTCCAGCATTTTTATGAAAAGTTTAGTAATTTTTTATGGAGATATTTTTTTCATTGATCATAATAAAAATTAATATTTGGTAAGTATAAACAATAAATTACCAGCATTAAATAGAAAATTGGTCAGATTTTTCGCAAAAAACAAAATTTGATTGATAAAAATTTTAAATTTGTTCTAAAAAAATGACGTTATTTAACAAGTTTGTTATAATTTTTATTTTTTGAAACTAACTTCCCCGAGCAGTTAATTTAAAAAGGGGTAGAGTTAGGGTTAGTTTATAATAAAAATATGAATGTATACTTTTATTTTATTAAGACAGTTCACTCAAGTTTAGATAAAATCCAAACCATTCAAAGGGAACTTAAAAAAACATTAGTAAGTGATTACGACGCTATCTCTCCCAATGCGGGGTGAAAACCTGATGCCGGCTAGTGGGGTGTGCATATATTAAATATGGACAAAGGACGTGATAGTAAATTTATTTTACTGATAATTTGTAAAAAAATTTTTACTAAATCAATTAAATTACTGAATGATATAATGAACAGCGAACACTATGATATTGATACATTATCATATTTTACTGGTAAAATTTAAAAAATACTGGCAATTTTGAATATAATAATATTAAAAAATTATATCCATCAGTCGATGCTTTAGATAAAAAGTTCAAACAAATACTTTGCAATGGAAAGCCTTGCCGAGCCAAATCCGCTTCAAAAAACCCACTTATTCCATCGTTAGTTGTGATATCAGAATTTGAATTCTCGTGGTAAAAGATTTCATTAAATGCTGGATCATATTCTTGAGCCGAAACCCATTTAAAATATAATCTTTGAGCCATGGATGTATCGATATCGATGGAGCGTTCAAAAAATTCTAACGTTTCTAATAAAGGGAGTGAAATTATTAGTTTCAAAATATTAATTGAAATTTAATTTACACAGGCAGAATCGATCCTATCATTTACAAGTAGTGCTATAATTGTTACTTCAAAAAAGAAACGCGTTACCGTTACTTTGTTAAAAAAGGAACGCCTGTTACTGCCTATTTAAAAAAGTAACAAGTAAAATTAAATATTATATATGTTAGCGTCAGTGTTTTTTTCAACTTTAGAGCACGTTTTTTTAATTTTAAAAATCGGATTTAACCGGAAATGTATTCCAGCATGTTTAGAATACCTATCTTATGAATTTTAGAAAATTTTGGCGTTAACCTTTGAGTCATTTATAATTTATAAAAGAAATCTAAGGAAAAACTAATATAAATTATATTAAGTTCAAAATGTTCATATTTATAGGGGAGGTATTCCAAACATGATAGAAAACATTTCCGGTAAAATTAAAATTTAAAAACGCGCTAAAAAAATGATTTAAAGTTGAAAAAATATGCCGGAAAAAGCATATTGACGCTAACATATATAAAAAAAATTTTCCTATATATAATAAATTATGCAAAAAAAATATTGTAAAATCTTTTATAATAATTTTTTTATATATAATTTATAAATAAAATAATAAAAAACAATATAAGATAAAATATTTTTGTAATAATTTTTCATTTATTTTTAACAATTGATTTTTAAAATTTTGGTAAGATAAACAAGAGCGCTTAGTGCTCAGCGCAGCTTTCACCGTGCTAAACACACGTTCAACTGGCGCAGAAGATGGAAGGGTTGTATTATATTTAATAAATAATAATTGGGGGAATTTATTAAAAATTAAAGAATAATCTTTATTTTGAAAAAAGCTTAGTTCATCATCAATCATTCAGATCCTTATCCAAATTTTTTTTAACCTTTATTAGAAAATAATCTGTACGTGTGTTGTTTTTTGAAGGAATCAAGTCTGCTCTTTTTTTATCAAATTCTTTTTTCAAACAGGGAATAAGTTCAAGCTTTCTTACTTCGTTGACATATAATTTTACCAGGGCCGATCTGATTTAAATAGGTGGTGAATTAATGATGATAATATATATATTCATCTTTATAGCTGTTTTTCACATCTGAAATAAAATATTATCAATTGTAAACAATATTTCAACTGTATACCTTTTATCTTTGTTCTTGCAGGATTGCATTAGTAAGTGGCTTGCAAAATGAAATTATTAAAGCCATTTTTTAAATATTATAATAGTTATCGTAAGAGTGAGATTTCCCAAAGGCATTTTTTCCTCTCTCTCTCTAAAATTGAAAGAGCCATTGGAACAGGTTCCATAACCTATAAAATCATATATATAGCCATTACAATATTCACCTATGAACGACTTGTTAACTCAAAATCTCTGTAATTTCGATTTCACAAGATTTATCAAATTTGTGGCTATTCTACTTAATAAGACTATCTATTATTCCACTGAGTTATAGAAAGAGTTCCATTTTTTATAACCAGTTTAATCAGATATCTTCCATTTTTTCCTAAAAAATGGCTGCATAGTTTTGGAGGATGTCCATGTTTATTTGATAATTGAGGTTAAGATATTTGAGTTGGGACACAATTAACATTTATTAAGTGTAAACTTCGTACTCTTAATTGGGTTTCATATTGGAGCTAAGGCAGGCTTAACTCATCTTCATCTGAAGAAAATATATCATATAATATTCTTTATAAAATAAATTTATATACATTGATTGATTCAATATTAATTAGATTAAAGACTGAAAATTTAACAACGAAAATTTAAAATAAAATGAAGTAACTTGTTAGTTGATGTGAATTATAAACTCGGCTTAAATTATTTATAAAATTTAAAAAATAAATAAAAGTAATTTTATAATACAATAAAATATGTTTTTCCCATATTTTTAAAGAAAAATAACAAAATAAACGCGTTACTCGTTACCTCTAAAAAGGAGGTAACGAATGACGTTCCTTTTTTTTAAAAAAAGTAAGGCTGTTACTTTATAACATTGTTTATAAGTATATTAAGGTGAAAATTTGTATAGTTAAACTAATCAAGATTACATAAGGTGCTTATGAAGAAAATGGAAGAAAAAAACCAGATGTAAAAGGTTTTGGAGGGATCTTATAGGTCTGTTGCATATTAATCAAAAATTCTTTATCAAGTACGAATGGAATGGTGACAGGATGAAATGAAGATATTGATTGTCTATCATAATTTGGGACTTGAATCTCGGCGATATTTAGTTCATCCTGAACCGATGTATCGATATTTAAGGAGTTAATCTGCGATAAATCTGAATTCGTGAGATGTGTAGGAACAGTGTCATATTCTTCTCCCTCTTTAGGATATGACTCGTCAACGTAATTATTTGTAGAAAAAGATGGCTGCAGTGAGGTTTGAAAATTGCTTGGATAAAAAGGTTTTATTTGATCAAGCCTAGGTAACAATTCGGCCATGGATTTTATTCCAGATTTTTTTGCAGTCCTTTCCTCTAACTAAAAAATTTAATTTAGAATGTAGAAGAAGAAGTTAAATCAAGAATAATAATTGCACTATAAATTATAAAATTTTGTACAAATCCAATGGCAATTAAATTAAGAAGATTCGAAAAATATTGAATTACTATAAAATTGATTACATTTTAATCTTACCAGTAAATTATTCGTGGGACTTAAATTTTTTAAAAAAATTGGGCTGGGATTGTCAAAAAATTTTTAAAATAAAGTTGAGAATATATAAAATACTATTCTTTTTTTGAATTAAAATAAAAGGATTCTTAGAATCTCTCTAGGATTATTATTATTATTTAAATTTTTCTTCAAATGTGTTCAATTTATATATTTCCATTTCGATTAGAAACATTGGGGAAGGCAGTACTGGGGTCAGGCCTAAAATTGGGCTGGGCACAAGTTTAAAAATAAATAAAAGTTTGTGCAGGGCCATGCTGGAGGCCAAATTTTTAATTTCTAGAGCTCTATTTGGTACTAGCTATTACTGTGCTTTATATAAAATATAAAACATTAGTTATACTAGATGTATTTAACAAACATTTTAAATAATACCTTTAAATTTGTTGAATATTCATCGTTATTTGTTAGTTTTATAGGGAATGTTGTGCTTAAGACTTGGTTACTTACCAACGATAATTTGTAATTTGGATTGTTCTCTTCTAAATAAAATTTATGAATATAATTTTAAAAACAGTTAAGATATTGAAATAAAAAGTGGTTCTAGTTCTTACTATGTAAAAAAAAGTTGTTCTGGTCAGCATTGTTAATTAGCCGATTTTATAAAATGACTACCTCAAGATTTTATCCAATCCTAAACCTCAAAATTTTGTTACTAGACTGCAAATTATGTGTCAAATTCAAACTTGTGTAATATATTTCTGGCTAAAACTTTAGTTAGACGTTATAAAAAATAGACCAGAAACTGGTACTAAGTTCTGTTAATAAATATATGAAAAAAAAATTGTTAAAAAATAAACCCTTTAAAATTGAACAATAGATAACATATAAACTTGTTTCACTTTTGTTAGAGCCAGAAAGTTTAAAAATTGGTTATCATTTTATATTTTAAGAGATTACAGGTTCTGGTTTCTAGATTTGTCCTAGTTTAGAGGGTTCCAGTTCAATTTTAAATATACGACAAAAGGATAGACATTTTTTTAAATTTTTTTCAAATTACCCAAGATAATATGAGCAGCTTGGCTAATCTGTTTGTTACAATTTTTGAATACAAATTCAATATGAGAACTATTGACTTCTGGAAACATAGATATTAAAAGCTTCATGTCATTTTCAATATAATCATTCCCTACTTGGTTAGTTACCTTGTAATTATGGGTTGATAAAGTATCTTTGGCAGAATATTTATCTATGGATTCATTATAATGTGGCCATAATTTTGAATCATTATTTAAACTATTAACATTAGTTAAAAGAGGATCATTATGACTAGAAATGGGTTGTCCTGATATGCAGAGAGAGTAATCTTGTGTTTTTCCTAAACAATTATCATAAAAGCCTTTGATGCATTTTTTTCCTTGAGTACTTGAAGCAATGGTATTTTTGTGACGAGTTTGGGTAAATGTATGATTAGCCAAACAAGTAGATATTGAAATACCTTGGCAGTCATTAATTATATTATTAGAACAAGTATTGGCAACAATAACCTTAAGTCTTTGCAAGCCTTTAACCATCCCAGAATTTATTTTGTAAAGGAGTTCAAAATCATATTTGTTTGTTTGAAAAGAAATATTTTTTTGAAAAACATCAAATTCAGAGATGTTAAATTTTGGTTTTAAATTTTCATTGTAAATATTATCAACTGTTTTTCTAGTGATATCTTTATTCTCAAAAAGCGAGTTTCTCAGAATATCAAACTTTTTAAATGATGTCTCAATATTTCTTAGATCTTTAACAACTTTTTTGATATCATTTTTTAAAGAAAGTGATAATAAAGATGTAGCTTTATTAATATATTTTAGAAAATCTTTTTTATCATTTATTAAAGAGTCATATGACTTTGATTTTGATAAAAGTTTGTGGATATTTTCATTAGGCAATCTTTTATTTTTTGTAATGATTTCTTTTTGATATCCCTGTGTTTGGGTATGGTAATCCATAGTATGAGTTGTTTTTTCAAAAACTTTAGAGTTTAAATTAGAATGCTTATTTATGTTGAGATATTTTTCTTGGTAAATTGAATAATGCAAATTAACATCCTTATCACTGAATTGTTCAAATTTAATAAACATTTTTGATAATGCATTTTCATTCACATTATGGGAATTTGTTCTAATTTATAAAAATTTTAGCTAATATTAAGAACTTTATAATTACTTGACTAATTGGTGTATATTCTTTTTCCACCAAGTGTTGGGTTCAGCAATATTGATTTTATAGCCATTTATATATGCCTCAATTTAAAAATTTAAGAAATATGGGTAAAAAATAATATTAAACTATACTAATTTTATATAAGGATCCATCTCCCATATACATATATTTGTATTATCAATTATAATAAGAGGTTCTTCGATAACTACCAACTCTTTTGCTATATTTAATTATTAATAAATTAGGGCAAATTTTTTAACTTCTTTTTTGATTCCAAGTGTGAGCCTCACTTAGTTGATTTATATTGTAATTGTAATTACCCTTATTGTCATAAAAAAAATCATCTGTGCTAAGAATCTTCCCAATTTTTAAGGTATTAACAATTTTTCTGATTAAAATCATGATATGGCTCATATATAATTAAATACCTAGCCAACGTTGTTTTACCACTACCAGGCAATCCTCTTAATATACATATACTTTTTTGATTATTATATAGATGTTCACTAATTTTATGTATTATATTATCATCTCCTAATCGTTCACTTTTTGAACAAGACCGAACTATCATAGGGATTATTTAATGATGACGCAGAAAAAAAGGCAAAGGAGAAATATCCTTTGATTAGATCAATGATTAATTGCCTTTATAGGTTTTAACAGATTATTCATTATCAGCAAAAAATATAAATTTATTCACCAATTATATATATATAATTAATCTTATCACATATCTAATTAACTATTTACCCTTACCCTATACCCTTCCTAGTAAAAGGTTTCAGAAAGAAAATTATTTATAACCGTAAATCGAACTAGTAAAACCAACTACATCTCTGTAGAGATGTATGCCTCTAATTTTTGAGAAATAATTATTTATTTGGGAATATGAAAGGGTTCTGCACTGAAACCAAACTTAAACTCTGAACAACCTAGAACTGATGATATCCAATAAATTTGTATTTATTATTTATTTTTAAAATAAATAGATACATTCTTAATTAATTAAAAAATGTGATCTGATAATTTGAAGAGATATGTTATTTTTACTATTAAGATTTATATCATAAAGTTATTCAAAAAGTATATTAGGTTGATTTTTAAATTTATTTTATTTAAAAAGCTGCTTGCAGCGTCTACATGACAGAATTTTCACTGGATGCAAGCCCCCTTCAAAAACCTTTGCCTACCCCCCTAAAAAATTTTACCCGTCTTCGGCGGCGGTGTCTCTTTATTATTATTATCACCTTTATAATTATATTAATACTCTTTTCAGAGAATTTATAAGGATAACTTAAATTAATCTATCTCTACTACCAACTATTGATATTTTGTGAATATAAAAAATTTATATTTTAGATAATAAATTCAATTAAAACCTCCATTATTTACAATGAATTAATTATTATGGCATTATGAGCTTGCTGATATATCTAAACCTTTTAAATTAAAAAGGATAGCAGAAAGTTTTATTTGGAAAACAATGTGTATGATTGTTTGCAATATATAGATTTGGTCGATAATTGTATTATAATATTTCTATAATAAAAGTATTAATTTTTACAATAAATTTTGTCCTATTTCATCTCAAAATTTAATAGATAACAAAAATTTATCCTACCCCAATAAAGCAGCCTACTCCTCAAAAAATAGGATGCAAACTGTTCCTATCCCCCGCTCATGTAGACGCTGGCTGCTTGTATTTTTTATATTTTATTATTCAAAAAACTTATGTTAACTTATATTTCATTTTAAATACTATTTCGTTAATATTAAAAAAAGCTTATATTTTATGTTTTTCATATTATTTATTTTTGTAAATTATTTATGTTTTATATTTTTAGTTATTATTATAGTGGATTATATAAAAGCTATAACTTTTTATAAATTTCAGTTATATATTTGTAATATGGTGGCAGATACACCTATCATGCCTTACAAGTAAAACTTACGTTCATGCTAAATCTTTAATATTTTTTTTATTAAATTAATTATAAAGATATTTAATCATATCGTGAAGGAGGTATTCGATGAATTTGTGGCATAATTTGTTTCATCCATAAAAAGAAGTAAAAAATACTATAACTTAGAAGATATGACTGCGGCTTATCGTGACATTCAAGGTAAACGGTGCAGGGACGCACATGGTTGGTTTACCATCAATGCACAAAGATACGAGAGAAATTAATTAACGCAGTATTAAATTTTTTATAATAAATTGTATAATATATTATTAAACAAATAAAATAATATAAGCATAGAATTTCCAACATATTTGGGTAATGCAGAATTATTTATGAATAGGTTTGAGGGCATATTTAAGGGTACTCAGATTACAGACATCAATAAAGCTGGATTATTCGCGAGATTGCCGGATGACGAGTATGTTAAGCTGAAAGCCATATGCTCGCAGATGGACTTTATTAACCCAACAATATTGATTGAAAAATTTAAATTATTACTTCCAAAAAAACCAACGATTCAAGTTTAGTTTTTTAAATGCGGTAGTTCAGGAGAAAAGTGAAACTTATATAAATTATGTAAGCCATTAAGATGAATGTTTACTCGAGGTCAGTAGAGTGATTGAAAAGGTGAAAATATCATCCATTAATAAAAATATCACACAAAAATAACACTTAAGGAGAATATTACACTAGCTGAAGTTTTAAATTTAAGAGATGAAATAGAGTAGGTAGAAGTAAAAGAGGTTATTATTAAAGTAGAAAACATATCTTTAAACAAAAAAAATAGAAGGTGGTGAAACATCGGTAAAACATATAAAAGGGCAAAGAGATAAAAAAGATGGAAGCATACATACAATTAGTTAGATACAAAAACACTAACAGAAGACAAAATACGCCATCTAATTACGATATCAGACAACGATGGACACCAAGATACAATGACTATTAAAGAAATAATTATCAAAGAGATAATGACAAAGATAGATATCAGAATTACAATCCAAAGTATTATGACAATGACAGGGCAAACTACAAGCCAATATCGTATAACAATTTCTCGAGATTTAACAATAAAGCTAATTATAATAATAACTACATTAACTTAATTTTAATGATTATAATTACAGATTTAATAGACAGTACAACGATTCAAGATTTATACCAAGATATAATAATAACCAAAATTTTGAAAATCAAGATGGAACCTATTTAAATCAACCATATAATAATAGATAACAAAACAACGATAAACCAACTTCTATATTCAAACAAAATTAACATTGTCAATATAGAAAAGATAAGAGAATAATGATAAATTGGAGAAAAGGGAAGCTCACGATGCTTACAAAGTTATGGTATACCAAAATGTTGTACCTAAGTTAAGGCAAATAGATATAGGATCAAGGTTTACCATACTACCAATTGAAATGGCCAAAAGGATCGGAATTAAAACTTTAAATAAGTCGAATATAAAATTAACAGGATATGTTGAAAGAACGATAAAAGTGGTACAGTTCAAGTCAAAGTGAAATACGAAGACAAAACTCAACTTTTATATGCCATTGTGGTCCAAAGTGACAAGATTTCACTTCTGGGAAGGGCCTGGATAAAACATTTTGGGAATATATTAAATTAATTTGTAAATATAAATGTTGCCTGTGAAATGCTATCCAAAAATTAATCAAGCAATGTAATTTTAAGTTGAATAAAAAATCAATTTATGAAATTGTAGACTACATCATAAACAAGACGTTACACAGATGATTATACCTTCAAGACGTGTTCTGTGTTTCGTATTCGAGAATTTATTTAGTTACAAAAGTGGATAGATGACAAATTATTGAACCTGTTCTAGATGTTTGCTGGGCTATTCCTCTCACACCCGTTTTTTTAAGAGTGATGGCTTACTACGACTCTGCGCTGAATTCAAAAATACAAATTTGAAATTTAAATATCCGATACCACGAATTAACTACTTAATTTGAAAATTATCAAAAGGCAAGAGATTTACAAAGATTTATTTCAAGAACACCTTCTTCCAGGTTCCTATAATAAGGAGTCTAGGGTTATACTCACGATATCTACGCACAAAGAACACTACAGATTTACACGACTTCCTTTTGGATTAAAAATAATGGACAAAATATTTGGTGATATGAAAGATGTTATATTTTATATCTATAATATCGATGATCTACTTATTACTTAACTCTTGCTGAATAAAATAGCAAAATAAAATAACCAAATATTGCAGTAGCCATGAGAAATGGAAAAATTTTTTTGTTTAGCCAACAGTGCTGGTTAGTGCTGTTAGTTATTTTTGTATAAAAAATGTATTTTATGATTTTGGTTCAAAAAATCAATCCAAATAACGTATCGGTTTTGTATGAATATTGAAAAATATCAGATAGGATTGGTGAAAAATTTATATATCGGCATAGCTCTAACTAAAATATATTTTGCTTCAAACAAATTTAATTTTTTTATATATGGCAGATTTCGTTAGAAGATAGGATACATATTTATTTATGGGAAAAACTCTAAATTATTTAATTATTAAAGAATATATTTAAGACTTTGGAGCCTTGATTTTATTTTATATAATCAGGTTAAAAAAGAGTATAAAAATGTGTATATAAGTCATGATTTAAAAAGTCAATTTCATAAATAAATATTTGTCTTTGTAAAAAAATAGTCACCATAAATTAATAATATATATACCAGTTAAACAAAGTTGCAATAATCTTTATAGTAATATTCGATGAATCTCTTTTGAAAATCTATCATTCATAATTTCTTCAACCTATCTAATAATACCGCCTTAAAGAATTCTTTCCCAATTTCTTTGGCTAATGGTGGCGGCACAGCATTTCCAATCTATTATTTATAAGAATAAATTATAACAAGTAGAATTACTAGGGGGAGAGGCACACGGGGTCTCTGGACCTCAGAAAAATTTGAAGAGTCCCCCGAAAATTTAGAAAAGGGTCATTTTAAAAATGTCAGCTAAAAAAAGATCATTTTAAAAATAATTTAAAAAACCAAATTTTTGAACCCCCTGAGATTGTAAAGTCTAGTGAGCCCCTGAACTGATCATAACAATGGTTACTAAAATAATATATAACAGATAATTAGAAATGATAAAAACTAAAAAATTGTATCTCAAAAAAAGTAAGAAGAAAAACTTGTCGATGTTTGTCAACTGGATCTGATCCACACAGCACATAGCTATCCGAAAAGCCCTGAGAGCGTGCACATTCTCTTACACTGACGCAACGGGCCTGGTATGGGTGCAAAACCCTGCCCTGTTTTCCCATTGGTTCTGGGTTTGTTACAGTCGTTGGGTGAAAACCCTGCCAGGCCAGACGCCCATAGAGACCAGCCCACTGAGCGTGACGATCGGATGTGTGAGGGAGGCACCAAGGGATGAGTGTATCGGATTGTCGGTAAGAGCCACAGCTTAGAGAGGCAATAGTAGGTTCTGCGAAAAAGATTTGATAATATAGAAAAGAAATATGAAATAAAAGAAAAATTAAGCATCGTTAATTAGAATTATAGTCCTGGAGAAAAGCTCTATATTACTTGATTTTTAATCAATTTATCATTTATTCGTAAATTACTTTGGGCACATACACACACTCCTCTATAATTTCCGTTGGGAGAAACTCCATTCTTTTTATCATTGTGTGTGTATGTAAGCTTTTTTGCTTTGTTACCATCTATCAAATCGACCTTTAAAATGGTATAATTATAAATTATTTTTTAAAAGAAGAAAAATATGTTAAGTAACTTCTATATTAGGAAGATCTCTCCAATCCGCGCCCAAAAATGTTGGTATATGGCAAATTCTAGCGTAAACTAAAGGCGACATTTCTTTGCATATGTGATCTTTAAGCATAACGAATGTTTGATCAGTGATGAAATCAGTCCTCATCTTTAATTTAAAAATAAACACGGTTTTAATCTCAAAATTCTATTATTTGAGATAGGTAGGGCCACGTTGCTCTAAAATTGTAACGGTCACTATTACTCAAGAAAAAAATATAACGGCTAAGTTACTCTTCGTTACCTCGGTTACATTACCGTTATTCAAAACATGTAACGGTTAGAAAAGTTCTTCGTCACATTAAAAAAATTTAATCATTCCTGCAAGTATTAACATAATAAAAGGCAGTATAAACTATAAAACACACTAGTTTATTTATATTTTTTATCTAAATTAATATAATAACAATGAAATATTATCATTTTAAGCATAGGCGTAGCCAGAATTTTCATAAGGGGGGAAATCAAAAAATTACTGGGGGCTTCGCCCCCAGACCCCCATTTGGGCGGGCCTTCGGCCCGCTTTTCCCCGGCCTTCGGCCGGGTTAATTTAACCTATATATAGTTATAAAATATTTTTACAAATTTTAATAAAAAAAATAAGCCTGGAACAAATATGAAATATATTTTTATTAGTTTATATAAAATAAAAATATAATAAATTACTTGTATTGTATATACCTTAATATAAAACATGGTAATAATTTATTCCAAACAATTATAAGAAATTTATTTATAATAAGTAAGTAGACATATAGTTGATTTTACTCTACTATATAGAATTAGTTATAAAATACTAGGTAAAATTCCACTTTTACAGACATATTTGACAGTTAGAGAATATATTACAGTTAATAATCTGACAAAATTTACTAATCAATGCTCTTGATATTAAATATAGCAACAATATGCATACAATTATTTAACGCCATCTATTCTATTTAGGTATATATAAATTTAATCTTCATATTATTCATCCCACAATGTCTTTAAAAGATATTTTCTGATGTCCTTATCAATATTTTATAGTTTTCTGTAAAATATATAATTCGCTATATTGGTAAAAATACTTGATTGTCATTTGATAATTAGATATATTGTAAATCGACGACATATAATATTCCACTGTTTATATTGTGCTTTAATATTTTTTTAATTTATGATTTAATTTTATCAATAGTTTTATAATTATATTTTACTTTTATTAAGATAAATAAATTAAAATTACTCACTTTATAAAAAATTATATTTGATATATTATATTATTTAGTAATTTTATAGATCTATTATTAATAATTATAATACATTTCACTTCTGTCCTAAGACTTATCCTTGGCTTATATTCCATTTATTAAAAAACATTTTTGGTTCATTTTATATATTTATAAATTTATTTTCCCCAAAATCTATAAATTATGATGATTAGTTTTATAAAAAAATATCAACTTTTACATTCTTTCTTTTAAATTATTATTTAAGATATATGCATACATATTTGAGGGTCAGGGAGTGGGGGGGAGGGCTAAGGGGGATATTTTTTATAGCTAAAAATGATATTTAAAAAAGTGATAAATTTCTGAAGGGGAGGAAATTTCCCCTTGCCCCCCCCCTGGCTACGCCTATGATTTTAAGTATTGATAAAAGAAAAAAAATTTCAAATAGGTCACTTAATCTTCTATTTGGTCAAAATCAAATTAGCAAAAGAAAAAAAAGGGACCGACGGGAGTGGAGGATGATAAATTTGTATTAAAGCAAATAAAAATTTTTTGATTATCGGATATTTATGCAGTATATTAATTTCCAGTTATGGATCATAAAGATATTGTCCTAGTTTGTAACTTATTTTTTTTTATTATTAATGATTGACATTTTTGTCCTAGTTTGTAACTTATTTTTTTTTTATTATTAATGATTGACATTTTGATTATTATCATTTTTTTTGTAAAATGAAGATTAGGATCATTAATTTTTTCACGGATTAATTTTTTTACGATGAAATTAATAAAAAATTTTGTTTATGAATTTTTTATCAAAAATACTTTTCAATAAAAATTTATATTTTGAATATTTTTAATATTAGATTTGGAAGGCTAGTTAGTAGTTTTTAATTTAGATTTTTTGGAATTAAGTTTAATAGATTTCTTTTCTCCTATATTTTTTCTGTTTCAGTACATATTTGTCAGATATAAACTTCAATCTCGACATTTGAATTCTTTGTAGTCTAACTACAACTCCGGAAATAAAAAAAACATTTGTAGAAGTGTTGATATTAAAATCATCTTCTTCGACATTAATTTCGTCATTATCTACAAATTTCGCCTTTAAAAATATCATAATTTTCTAAAATTTTATCACTTTGGGGTTCAAATGGATGAATGAATAAATTAAAATAACGAAAATAAACGTTACGTAATTCAAAAAAATTTAATGGTTAGAGCTTTTCGTTACATTTACAAATTGAGAGAATTATAGGAGCGTCACATTATGTAACTTAACGCTGCCTGTAATGGACATTTTTTGCAACTTTTAACCAACTCTGGATACACCAATATATAATTATCGAAAAATTCTATATTGAAAAACCAATTTTTGATAGTGAGATTGAGGAACATGGGAATAAGGCATGAATTCGGAATTACTATCGTTTTGATCTCAGGAGACTAACTCCAACTCTGGAAATAAAAAAAAATCATTTGTAGAAGTGTTGATTTAAATTCATCTTTTTCGACATTAACTTCGTTATTATCTACAAATTTGGCCTTCTTTAAAAATATCATGATTCGTGTTCTAAATTTTTATCAATTTGTTGGGGTGCAAATGAATGAATGTGTTAAGAGCCTCCTTTCTCCATATGAATTTAATTTTATCCCAAGATCAAATCAACGCAAGAATAGATCAAATAATCTTTTATTTTAAATCGAACGAAAAATTGTTTTTCTATTATAATCCTTTATCTATATATATTTGAAAAACAATTTAGATTAATACAAAGCATACTTTAGAGGTATAAAATCACAAAATCAATTTACACCAATTAATTACGTATAATAACCAATAAAAAATAATAAGTATTTAAGACAATAACAATGGCTAACGTAGTATCATGTTGACCACCGAACCAATAAATTAAAAATAGCGAAAAATAAACACGCTACTCAAAAAATGTAATGGTTCCAGAGTTCTTCTTTACATTTACAAATTGATATAATTATAGGAGTGCTACGTTATGTAACTTAACACTGCCTGTAATGGAACATTATTTGTAACTTTGTAACCAACCCTGGATACATCATTAAATAATTATACAATTAAAAAACCAATTTTTGATAGTGAGATTGAGGAGAATGGGAATATGGCATGAGTTCGGAGTTACAACCGTTTTTGATCTCAGGAAGGTCACAAATTCCGTCTCTTATCGTAACTCTAAGGAAAGGCGCTGATATAACGTTACTACAGGCTTCAGTTGAATACTATAAAATGATATGAAATAATCATAACAAGTTTCATTTAATTAAAGAAATGTACATTAATAAAAAAAGCTAACCTTCTTTCCGTTTATTATAACAGAGGTAGCGAGCGCCTTTATGGGAAAAGTGTGAGTTGCTTTAGGGAAGGAAGGCAATATTAGACCTGATTTTGATGCTATAATAAATGCCCTTTATTGTATATTTTAAAACATAATATACAAAAAAAAGTGGATAATTTTTCTGAATATATAAAGGAGCTTGTAATATTCATATCATATAAATATTCTTTCAAGCAAAAAAATAAAAAAATTGTTTACATCATAGATTATGTACAAATATTTTTTAAAAAAAATTTGACGTGATTATGTTAAATAGTTGTGAGTAAACATTATTCATACCGTTTTTAATTATGTGTGCTAAAAGATTATCGGGTTTAACCTTATAATAAATAAAGATAAGTATAATTTTAACCTTATAATAAATTTTCTCAAATAATTAACATTTAAATCAATATAAGCTAAACTATTATAAAAAGATTATTCATTCGTTATTTGTCCATTAGTGTTGTTAAAAATGGTGATTTAGCCGATTTTTAAAAACTACTAAATCAAGATTTTATTTCAGAAATATTCATGAAACTTCGATATTTTTCCAAAAGAGAACCCTGAAATCTCAAAAACAATTTTTTTGCCTAAAATTTTTCAGCCGTTATAGATATCGTGGCAATTGAGGTTTTTAACGCTATTGTTCATTATATTAAACCATATCGAGTTATACAAATATAAGGAGTTACCCTTTACTTGTTTCATTAATAATTTGGATAGAGGATATAAATTTATAAGGTGCCTACCGCTTTCTAGATTGAGGTATTCCATATGAGCCAGCCTGTAATATTCCGAAACTACAATTATAACCCATTTTCACCAAACAAGATAAAGTCAATTTTAGCACGGCGGCATTTTTGTAATATACGAAGTTTTTGACGTTTTCCAATAAAAAATATTTGGGTTGAAAGACCTCGCAATAACTAAGCATAGTAGCTATGAGAGAGTTCTAAAATAAAAAAATTTTTAAAGTGTTTTACACTTCCGAAACTAAGGTGAGGTTCAGACCAAAGGCAGGATCTTAATTTAATTTTAAACTAAATTCCATTTTTCTACTTGAATGTAAGGAAGAAATTAAATAAAAATGAGTATATTTAAAAATTGTATATTAAAGTAATGGTACCTGAATTTTTGAATAACTTCGGTAGTTAAAACGATTCATACCACTAAAACCTTGACACGGTGGGCCACCACATAAAAATTCGACCTCACAAGCCTTTGGGTCAGGTAATTTTTGGCCATTTTCGTTGTATTTATTGCCCTTTTAAAGATATTTTTTATAATTTTATTAATTTATATTATACAAAATTTTAAAAAACCATAAAACTATTATAACAAATATTTATCACCTTTACAATTTTACTAACATGGATCAGAAATCTTAATCTTATAACTTTTAAATTTCTATTGCCTTCAGTAAGCATGGATATTATAGTGTTCTTATATCAGTTTTTTTATCTATATTAGAAGGGGAAAAAATAACCTCCATAATCATACGCAATAATTTATTGCAATTTTGGGTGTAAACAGTAGCTTTCGGGTGATTAACTCGAAAGGAGTTTGCAGCTTTAATATCGTTCTCAATGGCCCAATGCGACTCGCAAACTCCGGATAATTCTAATCCATTAGACAACCCTTAATTTTTTAAATATAAATAAATAAAATTTAATGGAAAAATAGTAAGAGTTATTAGGTTATTCATTATTATTTTTATTTTTTTAGCATATATTTTGGTAGCTGGTATTTAATTAGGCGTACCGATATTCTAACTTTTTCGAGAATTTTATCTGCCATTTTTATAAATTGGATGGTCCTATTTAATAATTAACGTCAATTTCGATATTAAAAAACGGTACTTCTTTAGATATTTTGTTTATTTTTTGTCAACCACACTTCGTAAATAAAATATATATCATTAAATTTCATACGAATTTTATTAAATACATAATTAATGCATTTATCTTAATTAAAATGCAGGATTGATTAATTTATTTTAAACCTCCACAGCCAGCGAATATATCCATACATTTCAAAGGTCTCTTTAGGTCTGCAAGATTTTTTAACACTTTTGAGGTTGGAATAAATTCCTCGTCATTATCCATGAATTTTTTATTTATATAGGGAGATATTCGAGTACAACGTGAGGGGATGATAGGTGGAGAATATAGCTTACCCAAAAAGGCATCGTAGTGATGCTCAAAATAAAATTTTGGCAAATATTGCAGATCGCTAGAATTAAATTTCTTCATCAATGAGGAGGTGGAACATAAACTGAAAAAGTCATCCTCGTAAAAAGTGTTCGTTTCCATATTCGAAATATTTCCTTCGATTTTTGAGCTTTCATTAGGATCCCGATATTTCACCAAGCATTTAACGTAAGCCAAATCATCATGAAAGGGCACTATAAGAACATCGTCAGAACTGTAAATTACATTAAAATCGGAAACAATCTCTGAATTTACACCTTTGAGGAAATAATAATCATAATATCGATTTAGTATATATAAAACATAAATAATTCGTATTTTTAAAAAGGGACCCGTATATCTTAAATTTTTAGTTTCTCACCCGTGAAGAACCGGTTCTTTTCGTATGGAATCTAATATTCGGTTCATTTATTTTCTATTAAATAATAAACAAGAGTATTAGATTCAACCAGAGGGTGTATTTTGGGATTTGAATCCTCCACTCCTTGACCAAAAAATGCAGATGATATTCAAAAGGTAAAAATTATTTTATATTCTAATTAGAGATTAAATTTAACAAGCCGGGGAGGCCAAGAAATTTGTAAACAAAATAATCAAGACATGCCTCGTAAATCTCTGTTTTGACATTAAAATTTAAATATATCTTCTTGAATTTCAAGCTAATATTTTAATTAATATTTTGAAAATAAATTATAATATTTTTATTTTTTTAAATTTACTAAAAAAATATGCAAGTTATTTATGATACGGTTACTGTACAATTACTAGATTATCAAAATGCATTGATATATAAAACCGATGTTATAGAAATAGAGAGCCATAGAGTAGATATAAGAGTCTTACTTGACATTAAAAAAATTAGATCTAGAACATAAAAATGTGCTGGCAGAAAAAATTGTCTAAAAATAAAAAATGAATGAAATAATATTACGAAAATTAAAAAATTTTACAAGAAAAAAATGACTATAACCGCAGCGGAATAATCTCATTACATGTTATTAATGCTGAAAAATCTTATTTATGTTTAAATATGGAAAAAATTTCAAAAAATTAAAAATTTAAAAAAAAATAAGTTATTTTATATAGTAGAGCCATAAAAATATTCATTGATTATTTTTTAAATCGCAATAACTAAAAAAAATCATGGCTGTCCCAGGCTTAAATTTTTTTACAAAAAGATATGATGTAAGTGAATAATAAAATATTAAATTCAAAGAAATTCGGGCGGACTTTCAGGCTCAAAATTTAAATGTAAATAAAAACCGCATCATAATTATTTTTAAAAAATCCTAAATATTTACTAAAAGGCCTTTAATGAGTTACGAAATGACATATATTTCGATGTCTTCTACTGGTATTCTCCTAGTATGCAAAATTTTATCAAAATTAAAAAGGTCGGGTCGAAAAGTTATCGATTTAGTATGGAATCCCAGCTATGTCATTGGATTCTACCATTTGTTTGATGATATAATAAATTTAAAAAAATAAAGCTGATATTCATTTTTAAACTAAATTGTATTATACATCATATTGAATAACAGAAATTGTTTGCTAAATAAATAAAATGAAGTATTTATTTATTATACCAGTTAAGGTGTCTTCGGGCCTATAAAACTTCCTCAGAATAAGATTTAAACCATTGGTATTGTGAGACGAAGATTGTTTAAATATGTTTAGAATCTGAAAAGGGGCCAAGGGTTTAGGACAATCATCAGCCGTCATTATTTGATTGCATTGAAGCTGTTCCTTTTTGCAATTAGAGTTCTTAGTTTTACGATACAATTCTGGGTAAAGGGCATAATCATACTCAATTTTTTCAGATGGATCCAGAGAAACGTATTTGGAAAAATTATAATTTAAGCACTTGCCAATATATAAATCTTCAGGATTTCTGACATGATTCAAATGAACTTGTGAAGAGTATTGATCGAGATCATTTAAATCATGGATATTTAGAAAATCTTGAGGGATCTGATTGGCACTATTTTCGACGGACCTCAAATGATACCTTTCGGTGACGTGATAATATTTCTCCTTATTTTTAGAATTGTTTTCTTCGCAATTTATCGAATTCGAGTCGAGTAAGTAATTTGGCTTGTGGTAATATTTAAACACATTTTGAGTTTCATTTTCTGTAATAAAATTTTTATTGCCTTTATTTTCTAACGATTCCATTTTTTTTCCACGAGTACCTTGAATATTATTAGGGATAAAACGTATAGCATTCCCATGTTCCCCGAAAAGGTTAGCATCTAACAATATGCAGTCTCCTAAATTATACAGTTGGCCTTTCCATCTTATACGCTTGTAACACTTCAAGGGATGTTTAGAAATCTTTATATTTTGCATTGCTCGTTGAATCAACGTACAATCATTGTCAAATATCTTGGAATCGTGCGATTGAATTTCTAATATTTCCTCGGGGAATGGTGTTCTAAACTTTTTTTTGGTAAGCGAGTTAATTGTGTCTAAAAATTTAGTTATACTCACTTAAATAATGAAACAATTAAACGGAAAAATAAATTTGAACTAAACAACTTAAACTAATCTCAGCCATATCGTATAAACTTACCCCAACTAACACAAAGCCTTAATAGATATTAAGTATAAAGTAAAATCAACGATTTAATGTTTAAATCATTTTTGAGATAATGTATACTATATATTTAAAAAAATATGCATCGAAAACAGTCATAATTACTTCAGTATCATTTTTATTCAATTCACATATGGGACAAATGATATCCTCGTGTAATGAATTATAAAATACAGATTCCATCCTTCCAAAGTCTATATCCTCAAAACGGGCGTGCTTAGAGTCATAACACTTTTTATAATGAATACCTAATTAAAATAAACTCATATAAAATCTTCAATTTTACATAAATTAGCTAAGGTTAAAATAGATTTTATATAATTTAAATTAACTTTTATTATTTCCATGGTCTTCAATATTTAAAATAGTATATATAAGAAAGATTAAGATACAAATTATTAATTCAATTTTAATATCAGAGTTGGGTAGGTTGATCGGTAAATATTGAATCAGTAAAAAGAAGTAACTGAAATACATTCAGTTAAAGAAGTTGAGGGTCGAAGGCCAATATCAGAAGATAATAATTTAAAACTTGAAAATACGTATGCTGCTTACTTATTTTTTTATCATCTTAGTTTAAAATAAATAAGTAAATTTCATAATTGCAAAAAAATTATTATTTAACTTGTTGGCAACATCACCATCATTTAGATTTAATTTTATACATTATTTATAATTTAATTACAAAATAGCCACCGAACCGGTTATAAAGACCTACGTTCGAACAATTCTTCAAATTAAGGTAAATAGGAAAAAAAAATAATACTTACCGTTTTGAAAGTCTTCATCCGATATTTGTACTATATCGTCTTCATTTAGCTTAGTTCCTAAGTATTTAACCAAATTTATTTTGCAAAATATTTGATTCAACTGTATGTCCCTCATACATTTTTCATTGGTAGCTAAAAATATTTCATTGAGCAAACCGGTTTCGCCTAAAATAGTTTCGCAACTTCTCCTTCGATAAATATTTTTTTTAAGGTGTCATTTAAAGAGGGTTGGCTTACAAATGAATAAAGGTTTTTTAATTATAAAATTGCATATTATTAACGCAAAAATTTATAAGGTATTTTTTCAATCTAGAGCACTAAATCGAACCAATTTTTCCAGTCCGCCGAGAAAAAAAATATATAAATTTTGTCCGACCGTTTCGAAATCTTATTTTAGAAATAGGGCAGAATTCGATCAGATTTTTTTAATTGGAATTTTGAATAAGGAGGCTATTTTAACGAAATCAACAAAAATTATAACGTGACCGGTCTGAAATAATCCTTAAAATCGAGATTTGAATCTGACCGAGTCTGAGAAAATGTCAGCCCTAGTTTCGATAGATCCAAGTTAGGTGGGCTAGGTCTGAGCAGGACTTTAAAAAAAACTAAATTTTATAAAATCTTCGGAGCGTTTAGTTTATAAATAGGATACAAATATAGCAATTACTAGTTCAAGTAAAAAAAAAGAATTTAATTTAATTTTTAGCGGGTAAAATAAATTTGAAAAACTTGAAAATAACTTTTTTACATTTTCTTATGGTGTAATTATGTAAATTAATCAATTAATATATCTTTGAAAGAATGTATATAGAAGTAATTTTTTATCTTGATTATCTTTTAATTGCGGGCATAGATCAAGATCATATGGAGCATACCAAAATTTCGAATATAAGACAGGCCCGATTTTTAAATATCCGGTATCAATCGATATTATTACTGCCCAGCCCGATATATCAAAATGGGGGATTATTGTAGGTAAAAAAATAATTTAAAAATAAAGTTTTGTTCTTTTTTTCGATTCCGTTCCCTTGAAATTAAAAATGCTACGAGATCCGAATAACGCTAAGGAACTTACATGTGTTCTTAATAATTTTTAAATTGTTTTCTAGTTTCTAATTTCAGTTATTAAAAATAAGATCGATTGATACCAATCATTCTTTAACATCAGTTAAGCTGTATCGAGGTTTCTATTATAATTAATTACTGCGAAAATAATTTAACTGAAAATTTATTTCATTCTATTAAAAAATAAATAAATTTATATAAAAATAAATAAAAAATTTAAAAATTAAAAATATGATTTAAAAGGCAAAAAAATCATGAAAAACTTAAATACCCTAAAAAGGACAGTTATATTAAAAAATTTCTAAACGCATATGCCTAAAGAACATGAATTCCTTGGATCAATCGTTTGTATTTCATATGTCATACATTTTAAAAAATCGAAAATGATGGGTGCGAATTGACCGTTAGTGGACGTTTCATTTGGGACTAAAATTTTCAAGTTTATATTTAATAGTTGTTTTGATCTCTGCTAATGTAAGCAGATTGCTGGTAATATTGGTTGAGAAAGTCGAAATGCATGTATAGCCCTAATTCCTATACCCATGACCCAAAAATTTCATTCATCATGTTCCGTTTTTAAAAAGTTCAGCACACAAAATAAAAATACAAACGCTTGAATTCAATAAATTCTTATTCCTTAGGCAGAATAAAAATTTAATCTATTTTTAAAATAACTTTATATAGCGGTACCCTAATATTATGAAAAAAGAATATATATTTAGCTGCTTGATGCTTACAGATATCGAATGGCATGGATAGTTATTGAGCAGTTATTCAGACAATCTAATTTGGTAAGGGTTTGCGAACGGTCTGAAAGGCTAAAATAAGCTATTCTAAGGAGTACAAAATTTTCAAAATTGTCTGGAATGTAAGAGATATCTGTGTGGAGATCTTGAGAACTATGGATATCATTATCGTTTATTGGCGATAAAAGCACGACAATAAAATCCCCCGTTTTTAACTATTATACATACAAGCAAATATATTATTATAAGATTTAAATTAAATCAAACCTCTAAACTAGCTATTTGCAGATTATCTTTAGCATCATCATAAGTTCGTTTCTGGTTAGCGGTCAACCTTCTATAGCATTTAAAATTTTTGTGATTAGTCACTTCTGCTTGCATATCATAACATTCGCCTTCCAGCGAAAAGTCTAAATTTTTAATGTTTTTTGTTATCGTATTGGTGTAATAAACAATAGGGATAGGATTAAAATCAAGATCGAAAGGTATTGAATCTAAGAAATGTTTGAGGCTATTGATATCAGAGCTTTGAATGCACGGTTTTATATTTTTATCAGATTCTTCTGCCTTTTGGTCAATTTCAAGATCCGATGTTGATTCCAACTCACTCACGTCACTTATTTCATCTACATCATTATTATTTGATTCTAATTCAATCTTACCATCAGTACAATTTAAGTTAGAGTTGGATTCCAAATCAACTCCTGATCTTTTAGAATCCTGTTCAAGTCGCGAATTTTCGCTTATCATAGTTTTGATCTTGATTAACCGTGTACCATTATTTTCCATAACCTTCGGTAGGCTAACAAATGTTGATGATGGCCTTTCGTTTGAAGTCATTTCGCTATTAAAAACTGATTGAAACACGCTTTTTACCATAGGAGTAACTACACTCATGTTGCAATTTCTAAACAAATAGTATAATGAAAAAAATAATTATTGATTGATATAAAATATTGATTAAATAAGTAGGTATGTTTATAAAACAAGGGCATGTCAACATATAAAAAATAAACCCCTGCAAAAGTCTATTCAAGTCTGATATGACCAAACTCAAACAATCGGGACCTTGATTTTAATTTTATATTTAAACCAGGCCGAGTAAAATTTTTATTGGCAGACAAAGATCGGTCAAAAGCTGAGCTCTAATAAAAAACTTAAAAATATTAACCCATTTGATCCATTCTTGTCAAATTCTTTACGATATTTAACTCCAGTAAATTTGGAGGTATCTTGATGACCCCTATTTCTAACTATGAGTTTTACATTGCCATCATCGTCATCATGATTGTTATCGTATTCTGATAAAAGCCTGTTAGTTCTGCCTTTGACATTTATTATATGGTTGGCACTTAGACCACACTCTTGATTGTATTTCATGCTTAGATAGGATGTGTTCGATTTGGATACAAGGAGTCCTAGGTTTAGCTTTTGACGTACAATTTTTCTAATTATAAAAAATAAAAATTTTATTTTTAATAAGTAATAAGGTTCAATTTTATTAAATTGATTTCAGAAATATTGGCTGATTTATATAAAATTAAAGAATAGCATATAGATGTAATAGAAGAAATCAAACTTATATCGTGTCTCCAAATCAACTCCACCAAACTCAATTAAAGTCCTTAAGCATGGTGATAAAATTAGAAGGGAATCATAATCTTCGGCAAACTCGTCATATATCTGAACCTGATTTATGTTAAAATTAATCATAATATATAATATTTTATCGATGGTTTTGCTAGAATTCTAAAAACAAACTTGCTTACCAAAAAAAATTATGGTGTTGTATTATTAATTCTATTTTTATTTTGAACTAATATTTGAGAAAATTTGGCTCAGGTATTATATAATTAGTGGTCATTTTAGGAGTATATTATACTTTTCATTAATCGAATTAAAGGACCTAACTCAAAATTTTCTTTAATATAATAAAAAGAGATTTTTTAACGAGAGAAAAAACCTGATCAACGATAAACTGTGAATGCTTGAGCAGATGCTCTTCCGTGAACTTAAATTTCGAACCCAAATGAGAGCAAACGAAGGAAACCAGATCCTCATAACTTACCACTTTTCCACCCATATTTTCTTCCGCATCAACAAACACCTCCGCACTCAAAAACTCAATCACCATTTTGGTCAGATATAACTTTTCAAGGGTGCGGTCGAATATAGAACTATAATCTCGATGGCAAGAGTCCGTCAAGAAATAATCAGCAAATGCTGCATACATATCGTTAATTTGTATATAAATATAGTATTGGGAAGTATTGTGTGAAATTCAAGGTAATAAATATTTTTAAAAAAAATCCACAACATAAATATTAAATAAAACGTTAAACATTTTTCAATTTATTTTTTATTCGAATAATTTTGTTAAAAAATTCAACGTGAATTTATCAAGGTAATTTTTTCGAGATACGATACTTGGTATTGGTATCGAGCCTATATTCAGTTGAATATCCGACTCAGAGTCTGTAGTCGTCTCGTAAGTCGACATATTTTTACAACATATGAATCATAGGCTCAAATTATGAACTCAAGTCATAAACTGAAATTATGCAAACTCTTTAACAGTTAGGTATCTAGAGCCTTGCAATTGGGCACTAAGATTGTGCCAGTTCAACTTTTAAAAATATTTCAGGCCAGACTGGGACGTAAATACTTTTTAAAAAACGGACTATAAAAAATAACAGAAATGGATGTTTTCTCTTGTTTTATCCAAATAAAATGATAATTAGAATTAACATGTGATAAAGAAAACAAAGCAATTAGTGATACTTCATTTATTTTCATTGAGTTAAGCCGGACTTAAAAAATAATAAGTATGGGCCGGGTTTAGGCCTAAAAAAATTGAATTTGCATCTCTTCAAGCCTGGCCAGAACGTGAAACTCAAGGAACAGTATCAAAATTAGCTAAATATCGAATAAGTGGAAAAATTGGTAATCTTCCGATTTTGCTTTTTTTGTCGAATTGATTTTCATATTATCGCACCTCAATTACAAGATGAATAAAAAAAACAAAAAATAATATTTGACATTCATAGAAGTCATCCACAATTCTACCATTTTCTATTTTAGAGAATAAAAAATACATATTTTTTAAATCGAATTTATTTTTCAATTTTATTAAAATATTTAAGACTTCGAAATATGACTACCTTATAAATGAGAAGGGTGTCAGAAATAATCCGACCTAAACATGGCCTAGCTTACTTGTATTTATGCATACTATCCTATCTTATAATAAATAAATCAAAACTTTTTGAGGCCTTTATATTTCGATAATTTTTTAAAAATTAACATTTAATTGTTAAATGAATTTTCTAAAAAAAAGTTGGGCCAGGCTGGATAACTTTTACATAATATTTTTACTGGGCCTGATTAAGAAAATTTATCCTTTTCCTTATAAAAAAATGATTAGAGGCTGGGATGGATTACGCTGAAATGATTATCTTCTAGAAGGAGACTACAAGACTTATATGGTTGACCTTAATAAGAGTGGCTGTAGAATATAGGTATAAAAGTTCAGTCCCATTCCGGATTTTTGTTTGAAAATTTAAAACTCTCTTCCATTTGTTTTTTTAATTTATATTCTTGCTTATAAAATCATATCGGCGGTTTGTTCCGGTTTTTATAATTAATTATCATTATTATATTATAAGTATGTACCGATATATTTTATCGGATCAGATCGGGTCAATTTCGATTCGATAAAATGAGGTCTTCATTTTTAAAAAATTGTATATCATAAAAATAAGATGTTATAAAATTTTTAGAAAAATAAATTTAAAAACCATTTTAACTATTAATTTAAATATTTATTTCAAAGATAATATATATATTATCTTTACTTTAAAATAATTTTATTTATTTTAAAAAAATAGGGATGCCCAATATTTTTATTGGATCGGATCGGGCCGATATTTTACACATTTTAAAATATCGGTTATCGGCTAATATTATATAATTTTCCGATCCGATAAAAAATGGCGTTTTTAACAAAAATAGAATGCTATAAAATTTTTAAAAAAAGTTATATCTAAAATCATTTATTTTTATAAATAAAATCGAAATCCATTTTTATGTTAACTTTTTTAATAATAATAATTAATTAATAAAACTCTGTCATATTGTTATTTTTTTCGCGCATTCTGTTTATAAAAATGTGCGATAATCTCTTTAGAATCTGTTTATAAAAGTGTACGATAATCTCTTTGGAATCTGTTTTTAGTGAAGCTGTGTTACTATCGCCGCAGGTTGACCTTTCATAAATTGGAAATTTTGGTATTTCTAAAAATAAATCTTCGATATATTAATGTTAAATATTATTTTAAATATTTATTTCAAATTTCATAATATATTTGTTTATTATTTATATGTAAATATAGATTAATGTTATTACTTATTATATAAAAGTTAATAATAATAAAAATATTTTATATACTTTTAGAATTGCAATTGAATTGAATATAAACTACAACTGATCATTATTATAATATATTTAAATGAAATAAGTTATGGTATAGTTACATTATAGATGTTATACTAATAAAAAGTATATTAAAAATTAGAACCATTGGTATATTTACAGAATATAAAATTAGATATGATATCGGATCGGTAATCGGGCGATATCAATTTAATTTAGGGAATATCGAATCGGATAGGCCTACAAAAATATATTTATAAATACAAACAATATATATATATACTATATATAAAATATCAAAATAAAATACAATTTAAAAAAGAAATAAGAATATAAAAACGCTAAAACGCTAAAGGGCGCCTCTAGATGTTGGCATTTAGGGTTACCTAAATTTAAAAAAATATAGCGTGCTATAGTGTCAATAAAATAAATAAATATAATTTTAAAAGTTGTTACGAATAGGTTCGAAAGTATTTATAATGGTTCGGTTCTCTCTTATTAGAATTTTTCTACCTGAGTTCACGAGTTAAAAATTTGAGTTCGCAACAATTCATAACCTAAGTTTGTGACTGTTTTATATCTTGAGTTCGCGGTGAGTGTATAACTTGAGTTCAAGATTCTAATTCACAATTTAAGTTTAGAGTTCGTAACTTGGGTTAAATTTTTTTTTCATTCTAAAAATTAAATTAGAACGATGAAGTTACGAAGCATTAAAGATCATCTATTTACAGTAAAAGTATTTTAAATAATTTCAATAATTCGATAAACATGTATACCTGTGGTAATTCCAATAAGTATATTTTCACCCCCATCAAACCCGGTAATCCTCCAGGCGTTAATAGGACCCATATGCTTCACATCAACACCGTCTTTTAAAAAGAGAACACATACAATTTATCAGATAATCTATGTTTATCGTGAAGGAATTGGAATAACCTATCTACTAATTTTACACATAATTTTCATAAGAGATTAGTAAATTTTTATAACTGGGGAAAATTAAATAATAGCTCTAAATAAGATCAAATTTTTTAATTATATCATTTTATACTTCGACACAAGTGGCTATTTCTATGTGAATCCAATGAATGTATTTATTTCAAGAATAATATTCCAAATAATTGATTAGTGAGATAAAGGAAGGAAATAAAGTATATAATAATAATTTCGCTAGCCAATATAAAGCTAATTATTTTTTAAAAAAAATGATTTATAAAATTTGAATGATTGGATGTATATATGCAATAGGGTTGGCATAATTAAAATCAATCATTTTTTAAATAAAAGCATGATTTAATTAGATTTTTTTTTAAATAAAAAATATTTTATTATACCTCATTTTACAATATTTTGCCTGCAATTAATTGCTAAATTAAATTATTAAAATATACTGTATTAATCCTGAAATTATTTTTTTGATACAAATAACTCCTATAAAAATCTTTTTGATATTGTTAAAATTTAAAGAGTTATAAAGAATCTTCATCGCTATTTCAATTTGCCATTATTATAATAAATATTTACCAATATTTTATTTAAGATAATTCATGTAGTTTATATAAAATATTGCTTAAATCAAAATAATCAACTTGTTAACTTTAAAATTATTTTTTAATTATAAATATAGTTCTGAATGTAATGAGCAATAAATATTGAGAATTATAAATGATAAAGTACCTTTTAGTCAATTTAATATAATTTTTATTTTAAAATAGTTTATTCCAGTTCGAAATGCTCTTCAAAACAAAACAAAAACTTTAAAGATTCCCTGAAGATTTTTTTTAAAAGAAGATTTCTTTGAGAAACATAAAAAGTTTTGATCAAATTTTATCTGATATTTCAAATTTTTATTGTAAAAAATAAATCACAAACTTTCTAAAATAATTAGATTTTCTTTTAAAAAATCTTCAATTTTGTGATCTTCAAAGATTTTTTGGTTAAAATTTTTTGATGATTTTTTTCAACTGGTTTATTCATAAATTTTACGTAATTAGTGGTGTAAAGTAACGTCGTTAGCCTTTTTTAAAGAAAAGGAACGTTATTTGTTACTTTCTTTTATAGGTAACGAGTGACGGTAACGCGTTTCTTTTTTTTGAGTAACGACAGGCAAAACGTTACTTTAAATATTTCTTTAAAAATATGGAAAAAACATATTTATTGTGTTATAAAATTAATTTTATTTATTTTTTAAATTTTATAAAAATTTAAGCCGAGTTTTTAATTCACATCCACCAAATTACTTCATTTTTAATTTAAATTTTCAGTCAAGATTGTAAATCTAATTAATATTGAATCAATCAATGTATGTAAATTTATATTTTAATTAATATTCTAATTTATTTTATAAAGAATATCATGTCAATTGTATATTTCCTTCAGGTGATGATTAGTAAAATCTGCCTTGGCTCCAATATGAAACATTTTTTATACCAATAAAGAAAACTAAGGATACAAAGTTTACACTTTATAAGTGTAAATTTTGTCCCAACTCAAATATTTTAACCTCAATTGTTGAATAAAGATGGGCATCCTCCAAACTTAGCCATTTTTAGGGAAAATGGTATATATGATTAAATTGGCTATAACAAAATGGAACTCTTTCTAAAACTCTGTAAAATTAGTATAGTTTTATTAAGGAGAATGACCGCAAATTTGATGAATCTTGTGATAAATCCAAATTACAAAGATTCATATAGACACTTTGTTCATAGATAAATATTGTAATGGCTAATATGATTTTTTAGGTTATAAAACCTGTTCCTATGGCTCTTCCGATTTTAGATAGAAAAAAATGCATTTGGGAAATTTCACTCCCACAATAACTATTATGTTAAAAAAATGGCTTTAAATAATTCATTTTGTAAGCCACTTATTAATGCAATTCTGCATAACAAAGATAATAAGTATACAATATTGTTCATAATTTATATATTGATAATATTTTATTTCAATTGAATATATATTATTAGCAATAATTCACCTGTCATAAATCAAATTAAAACTAGATGTCAATGAATATAGCTTATTGCCAGTTTGAGAAAAGATCTTGACAAAGAAAAAGCAGACTTGATTCCCTTAAAAAACAACACACTCACAAATTATTTTTTAATAAAAATAATAAAAAAAATTGGATGAGAATCTGAATGATAGAATATGAACTAAACTTTTTCCAATATAAAGATTATTCTGTAATTTTCAATGAATTCCCTCAATTATTATTTATTAAATCTGCACCATTGAACGTGTGTTTAACACAGCGAAAGCTGTGTTGAGCACTATACACTCTTGTTTATCTGATCAAAATTTTAAAACTCAATTGTTATTAATACCAGTAATAGTAGCACTTTCCTTTTTTTCAGATATAACAAGTAGCATATTTCTTTTTTAAAGTAACGTTTCCAGCACTAGAAAAAAATTATATTTAGTTTATAATTTAATTTAAAATAGTTGTGATTTAGGCAAATAATCTTTTTAAAATTAATTTTCAATATATTTTTGCAAATTTTTACAAAACATGGCCAATTTATGTGCACCCTCTTTATCTTAGAGAAATAGCATTTTCTTTCCACCAATTTTGGACTATTAAATTATAACTTGATGGAATTTAATTTTATGGAATCATGTTACACAAGATACCATATTTATAATTTAATTTAATAGAATTTTAATTTGGTTTGAGCCAAAGCCAAATATGGGAATAGGTCTGATATGGCTATGGCCTTTCTTCAAAACTAAATATTCCCAATTTAAAATTCATTCAAAGAAAGCAAATAAAATTCTATGTATTAATTTCTGTAAAATGTATCTTTGTTTATTTTTAGATTAAATAAAAATATATTGTAATATGTTCATTCATTTAAAATTCTTAAAATAAATAATCATATTTTTTATAATGGTAATTAATGGTATTAAGAATTTTTAAAATTATTTTGATACTATTTGTTCAAATAATTAAAATTGATATTCACAAATATCAGTATGGCTGGCTGTTTTTTTTTAAAATTATTTTCATATAGATAGACTAATTTTATTAATTTATGTAAACATTACTTTCATAATCATTTTTGTATAATCAGCTCTAATTTTAAAATTTTCTTGAATAATTAAATTTTTTGATTATCATTTTTTTAAAACTAGATTTCAATTTCTTTATACTGGATATTTCTTTCTTTACATCAATTATTTTACTAACATGGTTTGATAAAATAAAAAAAATTATTATTTATTGACTCAAAATTATTAAATTTTGCTAATAATTTTTTAAAAAATATGTATCTTGTAAGTTATATATAATTAGAATACTATATATTTGTCAATAATATCTCATACCATTGACACTGGGGTCTTCAGAATATATAGGTTTAAGTGTTCCACTAAATAAAAGTTCTATATTCTTTTCAATTAAACCAGAATCAATAGCACATAAGTGACCATTTTTGTCATAGATTGAAAAATTTGTTAGTTTATATTGAGGAATTTGAGCATGGGAAAAATCCTCATTTTCCCATTCATTTATTGGTTCTGATTTATCATTGCAAAGTGCTAATTTTGAGTCTGTAATAGCCACAAATTCTTCTGAATACTATTATAATTACATATTTAAATAAATATCATTTAAAAAAATAATCAATCACTTATTTTTAAATTGTAAATGACCCTTTTGGCATAATTAAATAAAGCATTCAATAATTTTTTGCAAAACACCTGAATTGATAATAATAAAAATAATGCTCAAAATATTTCAAACATATACAAATTATAAATTAATAATTTTAAGATGTCAAAAAATACATTTAGAGGAACATATTAAAAAAAATTAATACTCAATGTATTATTTAATTAAAAATAATGTAATGATAGTAAACAAAAATGTTTCTCATATGAATTAGTAAAATATAAACTATATGCTATTATTACCACATCTACTCTGTCATTTGAATATACAATAGTGTCATCATTTATATATTGTTTACAATAGTCACATTTTGAAGGTTTAAAAAAAAGTTTGCTAATAAATATTTGTATACTAAATTTATTTCATTAACCTTACTTGCACTTTTTATATTTCTTATTTAAGTTTTCATCTAATTTATTTTCCAAAACAGCAGGCATGTAATAATTTAAAAAGGCGCTGTATAAAAAAATACCGCCAGAATATCGAAAATTGGTTTTTATAATGTTTTTTGAGGGGCTTTAAATTTTAATCATGAATTGGAAATTTCCAGCCACAAGAAATATTCATTAAACAATATTCCCACCATTTTTTCATTTAAATGGGATTAGATGAAATTTACTATATGAACAAGCGCGTACAGAGGAATTCGTTGAGGGGAGGGAGGAGGGAAGATAACTAAGTTTATTTACAAAAAATATTCCAGGAGTCATTTAAGAATATCTTACATTGATTTACTAATACTAATGTTATTGAAAGACTCAATCTGAGTCGTATAAACGGCTAACTCAATATTTTATCCAAAATATACAACGTATGCCTAAAAAATTTTCTCATAGATGGCGCAAAGGTTTGGACATTTATTAACGAAATCTCAAAGCTTATATATTCTTTTTCTGGCTAAAATATTGAGTTAACCGTTTTTAAAAATCGGCTCGAATTAAGTCAGTTAATATCATTACTAGTGACTATAAAATATTGGCAATTTACACAAATTCAAATATATTAATTATAAAATATTAATATATATAATCGGCATATCATTATAAAATAAATGTCTCGAAAAAAAACTTTGCAAAAAAGTATAAATTTTTTTAAGCATATAAAATTTAATGTATAAATTAAAATTATATTTTAAAATAAAAATTGGAAATATAAGTTAATGCACAAAATTGCATTTATATAAATTTCCAAAATATTCATGAAGAAAAATATGGTGTATCTAAAAATGATAGAAAATATCATTTAGAATCATATTATAAATTTAAAATGCAAAATTTAATATTCATGGGATTGAGCTAATATTTCAGTAATTTCATCAGTGCTACTAGTGCTTTTTAGTATGTTGTTAAAAGGCTCAATTTGGCCGATTTTTAAAAGCGGCTAACCCAATGTATTATCCAGAAAAATATTATCCAAGTCGGAATATCTTGCTCATAGATGGCACAAAGGTTTGGACATCTATTAGCGAAATCTCGAGGTTTTTACAATATTTTCCTGGCTTATAAAAATATGTTCTAATCGAGCATTTTAACAACACTATTTTTCAGGTACGTTTTTATTCTTGTTAAAGAAGGAAATGTTCTCATATTTGGTTGAAAAATAAATAATAATTTTTCATTAGAGAAATAGTCTTAAATGTATTTGAAATTATTCCAAGCATCTATAGAATTTTTTGGAACATTATCAACTATATTTAACTTTTATGCTATAGTTTGCATTCAGTTAGTAATGCATCATGGGATAATTTAACATCGTCACGATAAAAATATGTCAAATATTTAATTTTTTTCTAACAAGATTTGAAAAAGATTCGGAAGGATTCTGCGGTAATAATATTTTCAGATTTCTAAGTGGTGCTTGATTAATTAAAAACCTCATTCATTTTGGTTATAAAAGTATCTAAGAGCGAGATAGTAAGATTTATTCTATAGTATTCTTCGACTGGCCCTATATTAATACTGGAAGAATGGGCTTGCCTTGCTGCGATTCAAGGTAGATAATTATTAAATTCATAGAGTTCTGCTTCTAATTCAACAATGATTTGATTTAGGAAATTGGTCATCTACTGTATCCAAGAGGGAGATAGTAAGATTTATTCTATAGTATACTTTGATTGGCCCTATATTAATACTGAAACAATGGGCTTGCCTTGCTTCAAGGTAGATAATTATTAAATTCATAGAGTTCTGCTTCTAACTCAACAATGATATGATTTATGAAATCCGTCATCTACATTTCCCCTAATTTTAAGTTCCTATATGCATTTTTACTCAGCCTGGCCACATAAAATATTTTATACAAGTTGTATGCTATTATATTTTTTTATAAAGGAAAACGAGATAGTTTTGTAATTATCTGCTTAAAAAATTTTCAGGGGCTTGTAAAAATATTTTGGACAAGTTGCCTGGCCCTTCTCGAAAATCTTATTTCCTGTCAAGCAAGGCGGCACTGACTTCAAATTTAAATATCATTTATTTTTTTAAAATTAATTCTCATTCTAAATCATATCGATGCGATGCCTTTTAAAATATTTTACTTTAGTTCTGCAGTGAGTTTCAAATATTTGAGAAATTTTAAATAATGTAAATTAGAATATATGTATATGCAATAAAATGAAGTAATCAGCAATATTATTGGAGAATAATTTAGCCAATATCTGGATTTATTGACCTTCTGGTGTGGTGGGGGGAGGGGATTTGTCTCCCTGCCATCCCCCGGCTGCGTACGCGTCTATGCAAGATATATTGTGATTCTGTATTGAGACAGGTGGGAAGGAGGGGAGGTAAATATGCCTAGCTCTTTCGATAATCATAAAGTAAGTGCTTTTGATATTTACCCTTAAAACTTAAGGCATGAAAATAAATTAAATTTATTGAAAGAATAAACAATTTTTAAACCATAATTTACAATTCATTCTATAAGATTTTAACGAAATTCGATTTCAACCTGCATTTTTATACCTCTTAAGCATAAATTAATATATTCAATAATGTATCTTAAAAAAGTATTCTTTCGTATTCAAATAATATATGTTATTTTATAAAACTTGATCTCGATGAGTTTATATTATTTTGGATTTAAAATTACTTGTTAACTTAAAATTAGGATTTTAATTATTATCATTATTATTATTATTTTAATTATTTATTTTGTAAAATATATATGCATCATAAATATTATTTGATATTTAATATTATATAAATAATTGGTAAACTTTAAATAAAACACTATTCTTTAATCCCAGCCTTCATGCTTTTCCATCACAACCATACATGCATAAATGTAAATCTAGATTCATTCCTAAGAGGACTTGGTAATAGTATATATGCAGGAGGCAGATATGCAAGGCATGCAACAATTTATTTAATTATTAACCTTAGAAGGATGAGATAATTAAGACTATTCATCTTTTTAATTTATTTTCTTAAAATATATAATTTATAACTAAATTTTGTTTTATATATTTTAAATTATGGAATGAATATGATTACTATCTATGTTTATATATTATTAATAAAAATGAATAATAAAAAAATTACGAAAGATATTTATTATTGGAAATTTGTTATATTATTAAGTGCCTAATGGGCAATTGCCCACACTGCCCTTCAGTTTAATTAGTATATTTAATAGAAATTCGAAATTTTTTAGTATAAAATGAAAATATCTTATGATTAGTTACGACAAAATTTTAACAATAATCCATAATTTCATAAAGCGCCATATATTTTTTTCAATTTTTTGTATAAATGTATATTTCCGAAGAGTCAATGGCGTCACCAAGGTTTTGACATCGTATATATATTTATAAAATGTGTCTAAATAAAAAGCAAAAAAAAAATTCCCAAAACAAACTCACTTTTTTGCTTAAAAATACAGGTAAAGAAATATAGGTAAACAGAGTTAAAGACTCAAATTGGCGTCAATTATTTTTTTTATAGCTTTTTAGATAATTTTTTTTACCTACAATATGATATATTATTTTTTTTTACTATAAATAATATTTGAGATATGAGCATTTTAAAAATTTTGCAGAATCCAAAGTGGCTCTTTTTTTATGCCTATGAGCCCCTATATCTTGAGAACCAGGTGTGCTAGCGAGCTAAAATAAACCACCTTCGCATTTTTTTTACCTATCTAAATAATTCCATAAATTTTGACAATTTTAAATGGGTCGGCCGGATCGTGATCGATTTGACGTGGAATGGTCCATTAACTTTCGTACACCTTAAAACGACCTAATAGTTGTATATTCACTATAATTCAGGGACCCGAACCTTTATTTATAATGGTTCAGTTTGGTTACTCAGTATGTAAACAATTATAAAAGGTTACGGTTCGATTACGGTTCTTAAGAAAAATTTTATGAAGTTTCGGTTCGGTTCAGCTAATTGTAAAGGTTCATAAAGGTTCATTACGATTAGAAATTTTTTTCTAAATTATTTCTATTGAAGTAACACCATCGTATAATGATTTTAATTATAAATATTATTTATTAAAATTTTGCCATCACTTAAGTTAATAATATTGCTTATTTATAAAATAGATGAAATTAATTTGTTTTTTTATAAGTATCTATGAATTATATATAAAAAATATATAAGAATTATAACTCATTTCTAAATATATTATTTGAACGTTTAAGTAATATATTTTCTAGTGGATTCATATTTGTTCTTTGTGGCGATAACACAAATTTTAGCACCGAAAGGCCCTTTTAACAGAAACTTGTGTTGCGGGAAACCAAGTAATATAAGAGCAAGTTTATATAACTTTGGATATTCAAATTTCCTTGATTCCCAATATATAAAAACTGATGATTTTTTAGATTAATTAAATACAACTAAATCAAAAATGTTTAGATTTTGCATACTAAAATATTGGAAATAGGAATGCTCTAATACTATATGAAGCATTGTGGATCAATTTAAGTCATAGTGAAAAATTAATACATACTTCTTATGGATATCAAACAAATATTTTGATCATTGATCATTTAATAATTACAAATAACGACGTAGATATGGTAAAATATGGAAAATAATGTATAAAAATGTAAGGTTGGTATAAATTTACAAGCTCATGCAAAACCTCATCTGGTCAGTCTTTCAAATTTAATGTTATAGTGTAATGCAATATCTAATTTTAGGGCACACTCGCATAATCCTTTTTTCACATTAAAAAGACATTTAGAAATATTATTAGTAAGTTATAAATGTTTTCTTGTTCAAATATGATATAAAACCTTAACAAATTAGCAGGGGATCCAAACCGAAACGAATACCTGTTCGGGTTCAGGTTCGGATAAAAATAACGGTTCAAGGTTCAGGTTCGGTTTGTTAAAAATTAAAATATCGGTTCGGTTTGAACCTCTAAAAACCGGTTTTGAATACTTTTGTATTCAAACCTACACTCGAATTATGTATAGGGAAAATAT